ATTTAATTTTTCACCCCTGGAGTTTGCCCCTTTTTTCACTAGTTGTGACTAGTGACTCCGCCTCCTAACCAATCATTGACCGACAGTACCCTGACCCCGTTTTTTCAGCGCACAACAGTTTGAACCACAAGCAAGCAAGGATCTGCCTAAGAATGATAAACTGTTAGGCCGTTATCAATTTATGTGATGAAACAATTTTTTTTTTCTGATAAAACATTGTTAGACCGTAAATCAAAAGTTTATTATTCTCTTACAACCCCATCATCCAGCGTTTCATTCTTTCTCTTTTTTATTCGGTTTCTGTTTTTTTCTGCACCGTTTTAGTGATGCACTTTGATTTTTGCGAATTTTTGAAAAGACCCACCCTCTCTACTTAAAGGAATATTACACCCAAAACATGATTAGCCTTCATTTTCTACTCACCCCCATGCTGAACAACACTCTGGAGTACTTCTTTGATATCTCAAATGCATCTGGAGATCTGGGAGGCTTCTTGCTGTCTGCTGACATTCAAATAATGGAGGTCTATGGCGCCCGAGGCAGAAAGGTCCATAAACGTCCACAAAAAACGTGTCAATATTCCTCCATACTGCTCGTCCAATGTATTCCAAGTGTCCTGAGTGGGTAGCATCCAGAATTTACTCGAAACGAAGTCATTTAGAATGTTTTTAGAGCATAAACAGTAGTGTATAGGATTTCCTCAAAGCACGTTCACGAGTCTACGGAAACCGCGGCAGACCAAACCAGATGAAAGTGCGCATTCAGCTCGGCAAAGAACTCATGCTCTTCCTCAACACTGAAGTCCTCAGACATTTTTCTTTCGTTGTTTCTTTCTTTGCACAGGTAAACAGCACATTTCTTCTTCTACGCTTGCATTATCGGTAGAGCAGACACTGAATGCGCACTTTCATCTGGTTTGGTCTGCCGGCTTCCGTAGCGTTGTGAACGCGCTTTTAGGAAATCCTATACACTACTGTTTATGCTCTAAAAACATTCTAAATGACTTCGTTTCGAGTAAATTCTGGATGCTACCCACTCAGGACACTTGGAATACATTGGACGAGCAGTATGGAGGAATATTGACACGTTTTTTGTGGACTTTTATGGACCTTTCTGCCTCGGGCGCCATAGACCTCCATTATTTGAATGTCAGCAGACAGCAAGAAGCCTCCCAGATCTCCAGATGCATTTGAGATATCAAAAAAGTACTCCAGAGTGTTGTTCAGCATGGGGGTGAGTAGAAAATGAAGGCTAATCATGTTTTGGGTGTACTATTCCTTTAAAAACAAAAAAAAAAAGGGGGAAAGAAAATGCACATGTACAACCCTGTACCTGCTCCCAAGAGGGAATGCTTATTAAAGACGTGTGAGAGCGTGCAGGAGCCCATATCTCCTCGTGCACTTTCTGTTTAAAAGTTGCTGTTTGCATCGTTCATACAAACTTACTTTCCCAAAAGAAGATTTGCAATTTTTCCACTATGTCAGACTCACCATGTCAGGTAAGTGAAAATGGGGATGAGAACGTAGGACGGCCTTATGTTGATATATCACCAGGATAATTTACAATTAGGAGCTTATTTTGATGATCTACCCGGAAAAAGAACAAAGTCAACTGTAGCTTTAAAGATGATAATGGTGATTACTTTCAGCTGCTTCCTCATTCAGGGGCCACCATGACATTGCAGACTTGTTTTTTTTTACACCGGTGTTACCACTACGCCACAGAGGGACATATACCTCGAGAAGGATAGAAATGGAGATAGAGGGGGAAAAATATTAGTTGTGGTTGGGAACATTAAGCAATGTGGTCAGACTCCTCCCTCTCATGACCCTGGCCAGGAGTTAAAGGGGTGATAGAATGATTCTATACGGTATTTGGTCCTTAAGGTCTCTGAATAGGGTGTGTAACATTGGTTGGGCTGAAAATGGCATATTTCCTGTTCTATGAGCCCTAATGCAGCCTGGTTAAAAGCCCTAGAAAGAAACGACAGGTTTTCTTCCTTTTATGGTATGATCATGAATATTTAGATGAGCTGTGCTCTGATTGGTTGGTTTACAACGAGCAAAGCTGCTGAGCAAAGACGCATCATAGCAACAAGTACTCACTCACTGAAACATCAGATTGTTGATATGATAGGTTGACCAGACGTCCTCTTTTTCCTGGACATGTCCTACTTTTCACACCTAAAAAAAAAAAAAGAATTTCAACCCCAGAACTGATGGTTCGATTAGAAAATGCCCGGTCCGGTCCAGCCGCGGCACAGCGAAAAATAGTGTCCTCCTTTTCAGAAACCTAAAACTGGTCACCATAGATATGCTAGCGTTGCTATCAACAGCTTAGCAGCAGAATCATGCTTCCAGCTTGTGGTTGCAATGGCCATACGGTCGGAACAGCAAAACCTGCTTTGAACTCTCCAAGATTTTGAAAGCTGTCTTTGATAAAATGTTTCAAGCAAATAAACAGCTGAGCATCAAACTTTGCAGGGATCTTCTGGTAGAGAAAAATAATCCATGCCTGTCGAATCTTCAGATCCTTGGCTAGACTGTGAAGATTTTCCCCCTTCTCCGTGCAGCCCGGAACACAGCTAGGGCCCTATAAAATCCGTTTTATTTTTCCCAAATTCCGTTTTTTCCGTTTTAAATTTTGCAAATTCCGTTTTTTCCGTTTTTAATTTTTGCGAATGCCGTTTTTTACCCTTTACTGTTAATTCAGTCTTAAAAACAATGTGCTTTTAATGTTAATGATTCAAATTTACACAAATAAAATGGGAAAAAAACACATTTAGTCAGTACTTTTACTGCATGATGCAACATAACACTGCACTCTAAGTACGAACAAAATATTAATGGTTATGAACCAATGGGTATAAATATAAGTGCTCCATTAGCTTTTTTAAGTAAAAAAAAAAAAAGGACCTCTCAATTTCAGAATTATAAAGTATTTCATAAAGAATCATATTTTCCATACAGTACATTAAAGTGCATAAAAAACAAGGCAAAATACAGCAAGTATGTAAGCAAGTGTTTCTCAACTTTTTCGCCGAAAGCGGAGCTGTGGAGAGCCGCTTTGCCATTTTTTCAATGTTTTGATGGGGGGAGGCTGAGCGGAAATGACGGAGCAGGAGGGGTTGTGTCGCCCAGATTTGCGTCCCCCGTTGTGCATTTCACCCCGACGTACGTTCTTCTCCCACACAAAAACAGAACTTCATGTCAAATGTAGAAATTCCGCGTTTACACTAGATCCCGCGTTAATTTGCCAATTTCACGATTCCGTGATCGCGAAAATTATAGGGCCCTACACTGCATTTACTTCCATGGCTCTGGCTCATTTTTAATAGAGAAACTGCCTGCTTTGTAATTCTTGGAGAAGTAAACCCAACTGTCGGCTAAACTGCTGTCTTCCATCTGCCTCTATTCATGTTCTTGGGCCGTGAACCAGTGGCTGGTCTGGATGTCAATTTCGTGGCGTGACAAACGTACAGGCCAGAACCAAATAAGCCAACATCCCCGCATTGACGTCAACTCTGTGCTTCGATCAGATTCGCCCGTTTTATGGTGGAAGTTTAGAATTGTGAGATTTGCAGAGAAAGGAGGTGTTGATGGGGTTTGAACTTCTTTAACAGTTACAGCAGATGGATGAAGAGATGGATTCTACTTGGAGATCTGGATCTGCATTTACCAGGGTTCCCAGGGTCCTTAAAAAGTCTTAAAAGGCATTGAATTCTTCAAAATAAAACTAAGGCCTTAATTGGTATTAAAATCTCTTAAATGAGTCTTTCGTAGGTCTTATTTTTTTAAAACATCATAAAAAGGATTATTTTTGTTACAATTTATTTTTGTAATCTAAATAAAACATTTACCCTAGTTATATCTTCGCCGCTATTTATTTCTGCCTGCCCTTTTTACATTTCTGTAAGTTTGGCAAAGTTTGAGTCCCTACTCGCACACTAATGACTTCAGACTCTCCTCTCCTCCTCTAGATTCGACCGATGCAATAAAATGCTAACCAACCAATGAGCAGAAGTTGACTCTAGGACACGCCCCCTCCTCATTTGCATAATTAGGCAGAAATGTAAAAAGGGCAGGAAGAAATAAATAGTGGCGAAGAAATAACTAGGGTGAAAAAATACTAAGGAAGAATAAAACAGACAAAAATATAACATGCACATAAATAAATACTTAAAAATATAAGTAATTAAAAAATAAAGTTGAAGAATATAAAGGACAAAAAAATAAATAAGGTAAATATTAAAAAGGCGAATAAATAAAGAAGCTAATTAAAAGAGTTATATACATTTATAATTTAATTTCTACTTACATTTATCTGTTGATTGTGGCAATTAATTGTATGCTTGTTTATTTATTGAGCATTTATTTATTTGTGTATTTATTTTTAAATATGGCAGAGTTGGTCCTCCATAGAGATGTCCCCAGATTGGATTTCAGAAATCTCGTCACCTCACAGTAAAAGCCTGCTTGGCGCATGTCTGATGGGAATATGAACCAATATATTTACACAATCAGTTCTGATCATACATGTCAAACTGAAACCTTTCAAAAAATACCGGGGGAAAAAAGTTATCTTTAAACTAGCAACCCCCCCCTCATACACTGGCGTGTGAAAATGTCAGAAGACGTAGGCAGGTTGATCATTACTAAAGCAGTCATAAAAAAAGATGCGTGACCAACCTTAAACCCACTGAGGGGAAGTTTTTAATGACTCAGAGAACCAGGTTGCTTTAAGCCCTTAGGGTTTAAACGTTTGGACCATAATTAAGGGACCATGCAGAAGTACTTCCCTTCATTACACAGCAGGTAAAAAATCCTAATGACTAGATTTGCTTTAAAGTTGCAGACACCAAAGACATGGACTTTGCTACCTCCTTCTACTTACAGTAAATGTGGGATTGTTCTTCCTGGAGGCAGGCATTAATGATGTCATTTCCTTCCACAGTTGAACATATATCTCACTGACCGATTCGGATCTCCTCATCTTCAGCCATGGCAGGGAAGGATGCTTTGAATCGCTCTCATGCCACTTTTGACCTCTTCGTCCAAGCTAAGACCTGTCAGGAAGTGAAGCAGCACTTCACAGAGCTCTGTAGGCAGCTGCAGCTCGATCCCAAAGATTACAGGAGTTTCTACACCAAGCTAAAGGAGAGGCTGAACTACTGGAAGGCCAAAGCTTTGTGGACCAAGTTGGACACAAGAGCCTCACAGGAAGATTACCAACAGGGAAAAGCCTGTGCCAATAACAAGGTATTACAGTTATTTATATTTCTTATAAATTAAAAGTATACTTGCATATGTGTGTATGTATGTGTGTGTGTATATATATATATATATATATATATATATATATATACACACAATACACTACAGCTAGTGATGATAAAAAACATCTTAAACATGTTTGAACTTAAAAAAAAAATTTCACACATTTTTCTATTTTTCTACTTTGGTTCATTTTTCCTTTTGGGTATTGGCAAATTCGAATATTATATATATAGTGTAGCGAGATTAACTGTCAGAAGGTTCTAGGGTTAATGCTATGGGGTAATACTACAGAGGTAAACGTTCAAAGCAGAACTTCAGAATCCGAATAATATGATTAACTGCAGTCGCTTTGGGATGTTACTTAATGAGGATTACTTAAGAATGACTTTAAAGAATTAACCAAGAGGGTTTTTATCGCCAATTATACCATTATCATGATTGCATCACAAACTATCGTGATAAGATTTTAACGCCGTATCTCTCGGTCCTAATGTAAAGCATAACATTGTCAATGGTTTGTTTTTAGTCTTCCTTTTCCTTCTTTAATGGTGGATGAGGAATATTTTTTCTGGTGCATTACCGCCACCTGCTGGTATGGAATCTCGAAACGCCTTCATCAGGGGTTTCGAGATTCCTACTTGTACATTTGTGATTTCACTTGTACTATCTTTTACCCCATAACAATTCTCTTGAGACCTTTGATATTAGAAATGTTATCAAGGATTTTTTTCCGGTAGAACAATAAACCCATAAAAGTTTCAGAAAACGGAAACACTACACATGAAAGCAATAAATCTTGTTATTTTCTTTAGTAATCCTATTTTTAAATAACACTGGCCTCAAAACATTTATGAACCAAGTATTACTCACTTTTTTTCTCACAATCAATGTGTATAACAAAATGTAAGATTTATAAACCTACAATAACATAAAAATCTATAAAAAAAAATTGTGAAGCTGCTGCTTTTCAAGCTAAAATAAGCCTCTGTGCCTTTATTTATTTATTTTTTCAGTCTTAGGATTTGAAATAAAACAAAATGAGAATCCAAACTTCAAAATAAGAGGAAAATATTTGAAAAAATTAGGTGCTTGCTGGGTCCATAAAATGAACTGGTGGTGGAATTGTGGAGAATCTAAGCTTTCCAACGATGTCTAACATGTCTATATTGGTAAGCGTTTGGAGAGGTTAAAAAAATAAGGTTTGAGAAAAAAAAATTGTTTACTACTTAAAAAATAATTATTTAAATAATCAAATCTAAGAAAGAATTTTATTTTTAGAGAGTAAATTTTGAATAGTTTCATATTTGGATGGCATCTTTTTAAAAATGTCAATGTCCTAGGGTGTGTTTTCTTGCAACAATAATGGAACAGATTTCACTCTATAGATCTTCACAAACTGTTGATCATATTGACATTTACAGGCCAAACCATATTTTGTCTCTAGATGTTTATATCTGCAAACCCTCACCAGTAGGAGCTGTCACTTATTGTCCACCACAGAGAGCTTTACATGTAGTGACAAATTTTTATATTTGCCCAATTTGGGAATTCATGATGCATATTTTTTTCTTTTTTTTAATCAAATCCAATATTTTCTAATGAAATATTTCAATATTTTTCCAGAATCTATAGTCTTTCTCAGAGTTCTGTTCAGTTCCAAATGCAGATCTGTATTTTGCCTTATTGCTTTTTCTGTTCTTGTCACTTTAACCTGTAATGTGAAAGTATAACTTGTTTTTTTTACTTTGCTTAGTGCCTGGTGTTGGGTGCCGGACCATGTGGGCTGAGAACGGCCATCGAACTGTCCCTGCTGGGGGCCCAGGTGGTGTTGTTGGAGAAGAGGGAGGATTTCAGCAGGAACAATGTTCTCCACCTCTGGCCTTACACCATCATTGACCTCCGAGAGCTCGGAGCTAAAAAGTTTTACGGCAAATTCTGCTCTGGCACCTTGGATCACATCAGTAAGCAACTTTTACATCTAAGCTGAACACAAAAAAAATCATTTATAGTAGGGCTGGACGATATAGAAAAAAAGCTTATCGATAAAAAAAATGCATATTGATCGATATCGATAATTATTGAAAAGATTTGAAACCATATTTTATGTGCAGCTCTGCCTGGACTTTTTATGATATTGCTAAATGCTTTAATTTTGGTAAAGAACACAAACACAGACTTCCAATTAAATATCTATTTAACCAACTTTTTTAACCATAACAGAATTGTTTTAAAAAAAATAACTTAAGAGACCTGAGTTATGTTATTAAATACTGACAAAGAATAAACTAAAGTGACCAGAAAAGTGACCAAAATAAATATAACAAATAAATAAATAGAATACCCTATTTGGGTGGGAATAGTACACCACCAGCTTGTGGTAATTAAAAGATTGTAGGACTGACTACCATGGAAACTCCACTCAACAAGAACAAAAACCCAAATCAACTCACCCTTTAGCCTAGCATTTCTATGGGGTATTTTTTCTCTCCCCTATTCTTCTAGAGGAGCTGCTGGCACCTCGTTATGGTTCAGCTTAGTTTCCTACTTTAACCTGAGTTATTACTTTGAAGTTTCGGCCCCTCAGCATTTTTCTCTCAATTGTTAGAACTACGTGAGAAACTTCCCAGAACTGAATATATATATATATATATATATATATATATATATATATATATATATATATATATATATATATATATATATATATATATATATATATATATATATATATATATATATAAATATTTTCCCGAAATTCCCGAAGATTCCTCGGAGGAGAGCCGCGCCGGGGATTACACAGCTCGTACTCCTGCGGGTGTGAGCGGCTGAGATGATAAAAAAAAAAAGAAAAAAGTTGGTTGTGTTATCAGACTGGTTTTCACTGGTTCCCTACACATTTTCCAGATGACTGTGGTTTGTTTTTTGTCCGACTTGCCATGACCGAAATACTGCCAAACTGCCGAACTACAAAAACCCTTCTTTGGAACAATTTCCTCCGCCTCTCCTTGCTGCGACATCTTCATGTGCTCTGTGTTGTGGTTTGAGAGGGCGGCGCTTTGTGACGGCGTGCCTGGGTCCGCGATTGCGATTGGTTGGGAGGAAGTAGTGACTAGCATAAACCTACATGCTAGGCTACAATGAGAAGGAAGGAAAACTGCGTTTCTTTATCAAACTTTTATCGACTCTCTTTTTTTCTATTGCGCCACACGTGTATTGATCGATATATATCGTTATTGAATTATCGCCCAGCCCTACTTTACAGTCCCATTTACACTACCCTCTGAAAACCGAACTGTGGATCAGTTTACACACCATGCTAAAACGGTTCCTCGCCTCCTAGTGACGATCTACGGTACTACTGCTCTCTGGAGAGAAACAAGCAAATTAACATGGCGGCGCCTGTAACATTCAGGAAGTTATTTTTTGTTATTGTGATATTTCGTTGTTTGTGGAGAGTCAGGCGAAAAAGGCAGCCTTTGGGAAGTGGATACGACAGACGATAGTCTAAGGGCTTACTAGGGGTTAGTATTGGCATGGGTGTTGCAAAATGATACGTGTCACAATACTTGGTCGCGATACGATATTATCACCATATTGCTAGATCACTATCAGAGATGGCAAAAGTACTCACTTTCCGTACTTGAGTAAAAGTACAGATACTTGTGTTAAAAAATACTCTGGTAAAAGTGGAAGTACTGATTAAACTTCTTTACTCAAGTAAAAGTAACAAAGTACAGGCTTGTAAATTTACTTAAAGTATAAAAGTAAAAGTAGAAACCACTTTTTTCATGCCGTTGCCTACATTTTAAATGGATGTCTGCCAATAGGACTAGATCTCCGTTCTGTTCATTTTCAATCATCTCGTCGTCCATGCTACTATGCTAACGCCACCGCCACCAAGCTGCAATGATTTGCCGCCAATGAATACCGCCGAATCTGTCGATTCATCTTGTAGCGGTGCGTCAAAAGCAACGTAGATTCCCATCCAATTAGATTGAATTTGGTATTGATGACGTGAAAAATAATAACGGTAACTCCATTGAAATGATTCAAAACTAAAGTAACGAGCCAATTTTTTTAAATGTAAGGAGTAGAAAGTACAGATATTTGTGTAAAAATGTAAGGAGTAGAAGTAAAAAGTCGCCATGAAAATAAGTAGTAAAGTAAAGTAAAAATATCAGAAAAATCTACTTGAGTACAGTAACGAAGTATTTGTACTTCGTTATTTCCCATCTCTGATCACTATATATTGCAATATTTTTCCCTGCTGTCAAAGGAAATTTATAAATAAAAAAGCAGGAGCTGTATATGTTCATCAGAAGATGTCGACAATTAACTTTTTTTTGGTATCCATGATGTTTGGGGTTTGAATTAGTCCCATCTTCCGCTGTGACTGCCTCAACTACAGAAACGCCGTTGTGCCAAACAGCAAAAGGGCTCAGCAGCACTATCTGCCAGTGTAGAGGTGGCCCAATTTCCCTCATTGTTTTAGATGAAATATTTTTTGTTTAAAAAAAATCGATACTAGGAACTGAAAGTTCGATATTATATCGGGCAGCCAAAAATCACGATACATCGCCAAAGCAATTTTTTTCCCACACCCCTAGGGCTTACAGACGCAGGAAACGACAGACGTTGAGGTTCATTGCACTGCTAAGCAGAATCATCACTGGATATCGTGTGGCTCGGTAGGGAAGCTAGTATGTTTATGAATATCTGAAGTGTCATGGTTACGGAGGCTGACTGTAAGGAGATGACGCGGTCTGCAATGCGCTCTTTGTTACCTCAGAACCGAGCCAGAACTGAACCGCGGCTAGCCCTACTGATGAACTAGTACCGTGTCACTTTTGATGTCAGCTATATGGATGACCTGATATCTAGGAGCACATTTAGACCTTAAATTTAGTCTCGTTTATTGATTTACAGATTCAGACATCCAAAACAGTTTTTTTTTTTTTTTTTACAGTTATCTTACCCGATAACAGGAACCAATTTACAAAGAGTGTCGTAAATCAGGTTTAGCATCATATTACTTGCTGCATGTCTTAATTTTTATCAATAATCTCTATCCTAATGTTGACTTTTCTTTTGACCTTTGATATTAGAAATGTTATCAAGGATTTTTTTTTTTGTGGTAGAGCCATTAACCCATAAAAGGTTCAGAACGAAGGAAACTCTGACATGAAAGCTTCAATCACAAAATAAAAATAGCGATGAATGATATGACGCTCTATCCCATTGCAAAGGTCCCCTAAACGATGGACCACGTTTTACCTCTTTATGGGATGAAAGTACAGCCATAAACTCTGTGTGAAAGCTTTTTAATAACTGCAAAAACAATTTCAAACTGAGATTTATTTTCCGTTCTGTTTATGAACAGAATCTAGGTCTAAATATTTTTGGCCATGAAGATCATTCATTGGATCAAAATCATTTTTGAAACAAAGAATTTTTGTGTTTAATAAAAAAAAAAAAAATTGTTAATAGTTATTTTTCAGTTTCAAATTAGGTTTTTCCTCTTTTTTTTGTACAAACAAAATTATTTTATTTAAAAAATAATCACTTTTTTGTTTTTATTTAAATTTAATCTTGAATATAGTCATTTAGTTTTATCTTTTTTCCTGGTTTAAAATTATCCTTCAGTTTTATATACTTTAATTCATTAAAAAAATATTTTTTAATGGAATTTATGACACCAGTTTAGCTCCATAGTTCATAGATATAATTTTGTCTTTAAAGATTTTTTTTATTTTGAAAATCATAAAAATGTGTCTTTGAAGATAAAAAATATGTGTTTAATCATAAGTTTCTCCCTTTTTGATGTATAGAAATGATGAAAGCGGTCTTTTCTCTTCTTCTGCTGCTAACATTTGTTTTGTTTCAGGCATTCGTCAGCTTCAGTTGATCTTGCTGAAAGTATGTCTCCTCCTGGGGGTGGAGGTTCACACCGGAGTGGAGTACAAAGGCCTGATTGAGCCCTCTGGGGATAAAGGTAGCTCATTTAGCAGCGTTTTCTGCATTATATACAGAAAATAAGGCCCCGTCCACACGAAGTCAAACCCTACGAAGCCGGCGTTTCGGGGTCTGTAAACGATCTTTTTTTTTATTAAGCCTTCAGAGTGGGAAGATTCTGAAACGCTGTTTTCGCGTTTCCATCTTTGAGCTCTAACCGCATTTTTTTTTTTTTTACACGCATGCGTCATAGCGTCGCCTCTAAACACGCATGCGCGACACAGTATCACAACAACAATGGCGCCGTACTGTGTTGAATGGTTGCTGCTCATGCTACTCATCCTGCTGTCGGGCTTACAACAGAATCTTCTTCTTCTGGAATATCTCCAGGAAGAACAGAGCAATATCCACGACATAGTTCAGCACCTGAATTTGACTGAACCACGAAAATGGACCCGCAGGGCAACTATGTATAAATATTACTGCCCATGCCCAACATTTCGTTGCATATTTTTGCTTTGGCACCACAGCGCCACTTACAGGCCTGGCATACATTTTGCAGTGTTTTCATGCATTCGTGTGGACGATCACATTTATTTTACGTCTCCGTCTTTACGACAAACGTTCTGGAAAATATTAGCGTTTCGTGTTCGTTTTGACTTCGTGTGGATGGGGCCTAAGGAACTTTGAGTTAAATAGTGAGCTGTAATTGAAAGTCTGGTGAACTAAAATAAATGGTTCATGTCTGATGTTTCTCTTTAGGTTGGATGGCCAAACTACAGCCTCAGTCTCATCCTGCTGCATCCTTCCAGTTTGATGTTTTTATCTCTGCAGGGGGAGGCAGGTTCGTCCCTGATGGTGAGGAAGAAAAACAAACAGGAACCAGTTTAAACAGGACGCTCTATTTGTTGTTGACCGCCACCTTAAAAGAAAAACCGTTCTCTTTTTAAAACCATTTATTCTCCTTCCTGTTTGACAGGTTTTAAGCACAAAGAGATGAGAGGGAAGCTGGCTATCGGCATCACAGCCAATTTTATCAACGGAAACACAGCGGCTGAGGCCCAAGTGCCGGAGATCAGCGGAGTGGCTCGAATCTATAACCAGAAGTTCTTCCAAGACCTGCTCAATGAGACGGGTACCGATCAGAAATCAAATACGTCATCCTGTTTGACTGCAGTGTATTCAAGTTGTCTGACTATAACAGCCATTTTATTTAGGGAGCGTCATCCTGGACAGAGAAGCCTCTTTAAAGCCTAGTAGCACAAAAATACTTGATAACAAAAGATAAACAAAGTTACCGTGAATAACAGCTGCACCACAAGACACGGTAATAAAGCTCAGACTAGAAGGAGGGCTCTAACAAACAACTTGTTTAGTAATCGATTCGATTAATTATTGGGATTTAATGCACGTTTTCACCAAAATACTTTCTTAATGAGTGATGTGAATGCATTATTGCTGAAACAATTGAGATTATTCATGATTAATCGATGATTGAAATAATCACCAACCAGAGATGGGAAGTAACGAAGTACAAATACTTTGTTCCTGTACTCAGGTAGATTTTTCTGATATTTTTATATTACTTTACTACTTATTTTTATGGCGACTTTTTACTTCTACTCCTTACATTTTTACACAAATATCTGTACTTTCTACACCTTACATTTAAAAAAATTGGCTCGTTACTTTAGTTTTGAATCATTTCAATGGAGTTACCGTTATTTTTTTTCACGTCATCAATACCAAATTCAATCTAATTGGATGGGAATCTACGTTGCATTTGACGCACCACTACAAGATGAATCGACAGATTCGGCGGTATTCATTGGCGGCAAATCATTGCAGCTTGGTGGCGGTGGCGTTAGCATAGTAGCATGGACGACGAGATGATTGAAAATGAACACAACGGAGATCTAGTCCTATTGGCAGACATCCATTTAAAATGTAGGCAACGGCATGAAAAAAGTGGTTTCTACTTTTACTTTTATACTTTAAGTAAATTTACAAGCCTGTACTTTGTTACTTTTACTTGAGTAAAGAAGTTTAATCAGTACTTCCACTTTTACCAGAGTATTTTTTAACACAAGTATCTGTACTTTTACTCAAGTACGGAAAGTGAGTACTTTTGCCATCTCTGTCGCCAACTAATTTAATGGATTAATCGTTAGAGTATAGAGACTGAAAAACGTGCCTTTAGCTGACAGAGCGACACACTTAGAGCAGGAATTATACCAAGATTGTTTAAAAAAAACTTTTTTCCTCAAGGGAAAAGTTTTAGTTTCACCTGGTTTTAATTTCATAAAAACATTTTCTTTAAGGAACCTTTTTCTATCTGATTATTAATTAATCGAAAACATATTTAACAGATTAATCGATTTGCAAAATAATCGTTAGTTGCAGCCTTAGAATATATGGAAAAATGCAGATAATTCAATTCAGTTCAGTTTATTTTTTAAAGCTCCAATTCACATCATGTCATCTCATGGCACTTTCCAGTTCACCAGTCAGATTGATTCAGAGTTCTCTAAGGAAAACCAGTTGATTGCATCGACTCATTGACTCTTCAGCAATCCCTCGCGCTAAGCATGCTTGTAGCGACAGTGGAGAGGAAAAACTCCCTTTTAACAGGAAGAAACCTCCAGCAGAACCAGGCTCAGTGTGAGCGGCCATCTGCTGAGGCCGACTGGGGTTCAAGGAGACAGAAGCAGAGACACAAAAAGCAGCTGTAAAAGGCGTCCCCGTCCAGGAAACACACAGCCAGGCAGACGAGCTCCCATGTCACAGGATGAAGAGAGAACATCCACTCAGTCACGGTCAGAGAAACAGGACCACACTGAAAAAAAGGCCGATCACCAGCATCTATAAACAAAGGTGTTGATGGCAGCAGCACAGCTGATATTGTTCTCCCAACATAGCCTTGTTTTTGGAACAAAGCTTTGCAAAAACAAGGCTTTGTTGGGCTGTTGTGTAAAACCTTGAACTCTATGCTATTTCTGACATTTGAATTGAAAAAGCTTCCTGGATGCGAAGTGAAACTTCTTTTAACTTGGAAACAAAGTCCAGTGGATTGTTTTTCAACCTTTTTTGGGATGCTTAATCATGACTATCTGTCACAGTTTGTACCCATAAGCTAGAGATGACGGGGGATTAGACCAGCTCATAGTTTTAAACCTGTGACATTTTATAGTTCTTTTCCTCCTTAGATCACAGCCAACAAATCGACTTTAAATTCTCAGTACACGCTGCTACAAGCTCTCCTGTCTAGAACTAGTCAAACCAGTGCACTAGTGTAAATAAACAATCCAGTAAAATTGGAAAAACTGTAAATCTTCCTGATTCTCTGCTTCTTCTCCGGCATTTAGTTCCTCTAAACACGTTTTTCTTGCTCTCTGCATTCTCTGTTCCAGATATTGATTTAGAGAATATTGTGTACTACAAAGACGACACGCATTACTTTGTCATGACAGCCAAGAAGAAGAGCCTGCTGAGACGCGGAGTGATTAAACAGGTGAGGGGAAACCCATCTGTTATCGTGAAAAACTTTCTTCTTGGCTCACGCCTCAAGAGAAAAGACTCGAATCGAAATCGAATAAATGTGACTTCTGTGTGAAGAGTAGCTTTAATCAGACCTAACTGCACCACGCCCCAGAACAGATACAGTAAACCAAGTTTAAAGAATGCTACTCTCCATGTTATGAACATCCAGATTCTATCTTTGTCTTTCTGTCTTCAGGACTACATTGATGCAGCACAGCTTCTGGCGCCTGCAAACGTAGATCATGTGGCCTTGTGTCTGTATGCTCATGATGCTGCGTGCTTCTCCACCGGTGGGAAGCTGCCCGATCTGCAGTTTGCTCTCAATCAGGCCGGTCAGCCTGATGTGGCCATGTTTGACTTCACCTGCATGCAGCGCGCCGAGAACGCATCGCTGGTCCGGGAAAGGAGGGGCAAGAAGCTCCTTATAGCTCTGGTTGGTGACTGCCTGGTTGAGGTAATGGACCGTGCTTAAGAGCCATTCTTGGGAACCAGTCGGATAACATGCCTGCAGGGCTCCTGTATTGTTCTCCTCCATCCCTTTGTGTGTTTACTTTTATGAGGCTTACATAACAATAGAAACTGCTCTCAGATTTTCAGTGTGACTTGGCAAAATCCGTGTCAGAGAGCACAGCGCTCTTTATCTGATGACAAATGAGCAGAAAAACTCATAAAGAAAAGAGGAGTTGTGTGAAAAATGCAGCATGTTTAAAAGAACCATACTTGTTCCTGAAAAGGATGAATTGTAAGCCCTGTCCCAACAATTTCTTACCCATTAATTCTGTTACAATTTTTTTTTTTTTTTCATGACTAAAAAACAAGCCGAGTTGATGGCAGCAGCACAGCTGATATTTCTCTCCAGGATGGAGTCACAGCCAAACAGGACCATTTACACATCACACTAGCGCGGTTCCTTTCCTCTTATCAGTTTTCCAAGATACTACAGCTCTCAAGGCGGGAATTATGCAAACAAAAATGGTGGCGCCGATAACATTCAGTAACTGGACTAACTCAATTTCACAATTGTCGTTTGGTTCTTTTACTAAAACAAATTATTTAAAAAGCATGAAATAAAAAAAGGTCAGATATATTTCCTTTAATAAAGTAGAAAAAAATATGTATTAAAAATATATATATATATCCAGTGTTGGGCACCTTATTTTGAAAAAGTAATTAGTTATAGTTACTAGTTACTTCTCCCAAAAAGTAACTGAGTTAGTAACTGAGTTACTCCACAATAAAAGTAACTAGTTAGTATTAAAAGTAACTATTACGTTACTTTTGCGAGTGTATGAGATTAATAATTGGGGATGTCTAATTCTGAAATCCTGTGTTTGGGTTGTTATAGATACTAAAACATGTAGCTCCATCCATCCATCCATCCCCCCCCCATATAGGCTATCATTTGATCATTCACGCTCTCCATAGTTCTCCTGTGGCGCGAGCACAGGGCGGCTGTTACGCGCCTTTAGCGAGCATGCGCGTTTCCTGTCTCTTGCGCAGTGAATCATGCCGCCTGCGCTGTGCGGAGATGCAGGGGAAACCGTATCTGATGGGGAAACGCAGCTCGACGTAACACCGGTATTTCCATCTGGAAAGCGCTGTTTTGCTGCTGGAGTCCTCCTCACTCTCCATCCTCCCCTCTCTCATGACGCACGCATGAGTCCTATCATGAAAAAAGGTTCATTGTGCGGCCTGAGTAACGCGCAGTAACGGGGTGTCGGCAATTGTAACTGCGTTATAGTTACAGTAAGAGTAATAATTTTGATTACTCGTTACTAAAAAGGTAGCAGCGTTAGTAACGCCACTACTTTCAACGCCGTTACTCCAATCACTGTATATATCACTCATAGGGCTGGGTATTGTTAAAAAATTTTCGGTTCCGGTACCAATACCGATACCTTCACTTCGATACCGGTTCGTGAACGATACTTTTTTCGATACCAGTTTTATAATATCAATTCAAAGAAAAAGAAAATTACACAACATAAAAAAGTACAAATCTTGAGTTTTATTTTAAGCTCTGATTTTCCCATTTACATTTTTCCTCTTACATAAAAAAAAAAAAAACAAATTTCAGTGTCTAATATTCACTTAGCAGTTTTCCTTTAGAAAAATTACCATGTCTGACAAACAAGCCCGTTGAATGGGATCCTACTGACAGCGCACCGCTGGTATGGGGGGGTCTGAGCGGCTCTGACAGAAATATTGGAAGGCAGGATGAACTGACTGCACTGATTAAGTTTTGAGGTGGATTTTCCCACTTAAAAACATAATAAAACTACTTTATTCCCACTGATCACAGCAAATATAGCTGCAAGGCAAATAAAGGATAGCAAAGCTGCTTCAGCTGCGCGTCAGAAACTGGTACAAGCAGCAAAAAAGGAAGCAGCAGACGCAATTTTGCTGCTCCTGCTGCGTCCAGTTTGAAAGCAGCATGATTCACTCCGCTCTGGCTTTGCTCTGCCCGCGGGCTGCTGAGAGGACGATGGTCGCGCCGACTGCGGTCCGCTCTTCTTGCATTCAAACACCGAGCAACTTTCTGCTCTTAAATTGTTTCCGTGCACGATGTATTGCATTGCGCACTATTAGCATCAGTCTTAATAAAGTGAAGCCACACTTTTGACCTGGGGGGCATTTTAAAGGGGTTCCATGACGCTGCAACCAGTTCACAAAAGATACACATGAACCGTGGCTGTAGGCGGGACCACCTGTGTATTTTTCCTGGATGACGCAATCACGTTAAGTGTTACAGCCAATCACCGAAACTTGGTACCGAAAGACGAGGCATGTTTCAATACCCTGTAGAACCGAAGCATTTCGGTCGGTACCATAAAAGAACCGAAGTTCGGTACCCAGCCCTAATCACTCATAATTTCCATTTTTTTTTTCTGTTTTCAGCCATTTTGGCCTCTGGGAACTGGGATAGCCCGAGGATTCTTCGCTGTCTTTGACACGGCGTGGACGGTGAGGAGCTGGGGTATGGGGGTCCAACCCTTGAAGGTCCTTGCAGAGAGGTAGGTGAATCTGATCTCATTTAAAAGCGTAAAAAATATATATACTAACACAACTGATTTTCATATTTTAACTTTTTTAATCATGTTGACCTTATTTTACAATAAATCTACTGCAGCTCTTCTTGCTGCTTCCTCTTCCCTGGCTGACAGTTTATATTTTACAAAACAAGCAAAAGCTTTTGATTAATCTTCATATAAAGATAAAAAAAAAAAAATATGTTGAGCTACAGTACATTAAAGTACAACGTAATTAAATACAGTTTGAAGATGCTTAACATAATATTTGTGTTATTTTTCAGAATGTGTGACATACATTGAACTGCTTTCCTTGATTTTTGATTAAATCCCGTTAATTTAAATGGCGTTGAAGAAACTCAGCTTTTTACTTAAATGATTAAAATGTTTCTATTCCTCTAGAGAAGCAGCTTCTCCTAAGGGCCCTGTCACACCTTGATGATTTATCCAGCGTCTGCCTGACGTCCCAGAATCTCCTAAAACGCTGGCATACGCTGAACTTTCTGTTTTCTTTCAATTTTGGGCGAATACATAGAGTATTCATAACGAGTCCAGAACTTATGTCCAACAACAGCCCAACTTATAGATAACACACGGCAGCGTAATGCCCATGAAACGTCACAAGCCAGTGTCCTGAGGGGGGCAGCAATGTGCCTGGAGGCGCCCGACCTGCATAAAAAGATGTCTTTGATCGTGGTATTAACCTAGATCAGGGATGTCAAAGTAAAATACGCCGAGGGCCAGAAAAACAAGCCTTGGACCGGACTGATTAAATGTTTATTAAAACATATTGAAATTAACATAGCCTATTGAGCCAAGACCTAACGCAATTTTTTTTAGACAAAATATTAATATCAATATTATTAGTAAACTTTTATTAGATTAGATGAGCTTTATTGATCTCACAGCGGAGAAATTCACTGGTCACATACTGGCATAGTAATTAAAGAAGAAGGTGCAAACAAGGAGGAAAAAGGTGCATTAAGAACAAACAATATATATACAGTATATTAGTGATGCACGATATTGGGATTTTGGCCGATATCCGATATGCCGATATTTTAAAACTCATGAAGCCGATAACCGATATCGATACCGATGTTAAAGCTGGACAAAAAAAAATTAAAATATTGAATATAGCAGTTTTGTTATCCATTTCTGACACTTTGAAAAATAATATACTCAAATATATTTTCATATGCATGATTTTTAAAAACGCGGTATCGATCTATTTTACTTTCAAAATCTCGTGAAATTTCATCGTTCTGTTACAAACTCTCGTGATATTTTGCAAATTCTTGTGAGATTTTGTTAGTAAAATAGATCGATACCGTGTCAATATATCAACATATAAAAATATGGCAAAATTTTGATGACATATAGCAATATTTCATAAGTAAAAGAGATTGATATGGTGTTTTTAAATGGCAATATATCAGCATATGAAGATATTGGGATATTTTAATGTATCAATATTTTTTCCCTCGTCTTTAGAAGTTTTTAAGTCTGTAAACAATAAGTTGTTGAGGAAGAAGTAGTAGTATTTATTTATTTATTTTTTAGACTTTAGAAACTCAGAAGCTGATCAAATATCGGTTTTAAATATCGGTGGGGTGGCCGATGTCCGATATTCAGTTTTAAGGCCGATACCGATAGGGGGCCAATTATATCGTGCATCCCTACAGTATATCAAGATAAATAAGGATTAAGGTGCAAGTGATTACATTAATAAACTTATTAAGATAAATACATAAATAAAAGTGCAAGCATTATAAACTAAAAATGCATTACTGTGCTGCTCTATGATCCTACCGATCACTGCTTTCAAATAGCAAAATAAGAAAAAAATAATCTTAAGTAGTATTCTCTCTCATGACTCTTATCTATATTTTCCCTGAGTCCATTTAACTGAAACATATAAATAAATAAAATACACAAATCTATGGCAAAACTTGTACAAAGAAATATAAAATAATTGTGATGAATCACAGCAGCGGACCCTGAATTTAGCCAGAGATTCTTTAAAAAGGGAATTTATTAAACTAAAAGCAGAGCAATACCAAACGGGACAGTCAGGGCAGTAAGTGGTAGGAAATGTTGAGCTTGCTTGCCGAACGTCGACGTCTGCCAGAGTACTTCAGCGTATTCATAGCTTATCCAACCTATGCCAGCATTTTTGCCAGATTTTTGGTCTTAATCATCAAGGTGTGGAAGGGGCTTAAGCAATCAGGTAGTGACAGTGGAGAATTGATTGCTTTGGGTTGTTAGCTTTACAGCAATCCCTCCTAATAAGTAACCATGTGATCAGTGCAAAACGGAAGCAGAAAGAACCAACAGAACCTGGCTCAGTGTGACTGAGCACAAAAAACACAAACAAGTACTTTCTATGTCAAACAAAGAGGAGAAGCTCAGAAAAACACATAAGCTGAACCTGTAGTATAATCTTTGTTATAAGAAACTGAGTACATGATGTTAGATGCAGCAATAGCTCCTTTAGGGGGGTTAAACAGAAAGGGAGAAGGAGGTGAATCATCAGAAAGGAAATCGTTATTTATGGACATAAATAACGTAATTATTGCACTAATATTATTTTTCTCCCTAATTCACTAAAGAATACTAATACACATCTTTAAAAAAATTTTATGACTTTTCTGAGACAATTTTGATGGTTTTTACATTTTCTCCATTAGACAGCTTCTCTGACGTCATCACAAAATATGATTAAACCATGTTTATCTGCGTTTAAGTTGTTATTTCTTTAGATTACGCACTATATACCATAATGTTAACATGAAAGGGAAACATAAAACTCAAAAAGACTAGATTTATGTTTAAATCCAAAGCCGAAAAAGTTAGCTCCCGGAAGTAGCGTAGAATCACATTTCCGGAACAGATCGTCGAACAACTGATAAAACAGAAAGGATTCACATGCATTTATTTTCTCAGAGAACACATTATTAACCTTTTATACATTATAGTTTAGTATGCTTACTATTTTTGGGGAGGGAAAAACGCAATTTAGATCTTATTTACAAAATAAAATCGAGGGCAACCCGGATGTTCATCTGGCTCTCTTTAAAGAATGCTAATACACATCTTTAAAAAAATGTTTCAAGACTTTTGTGAGACAATTTTGATGTTTTTTACATTTTCCCGGTTACACTGCTGCAAAAAAGTAGCGTAGGATCGCATTTCAGGTGCAGATCGTGCAGAGACGAGTGATAAAACGGAAAGGTTTTTCTCTGAGTGCACATTACACATTGGATCTTTGTTTTAAGCTAAATTATTTTTGCTTATTTTGTTTAATAATCCAGAGAAAGTATGTACCAGCTGCTCTCCCAGACCACACCTGAAAACACCTGCAAGAAGTACTCCCAGTACACCATCAACCCAAAAACACGGTACCAGAGAGTCAACCTGTCTGCCCTCCAGGCTCACCAGGTTAGTTTGCTTCCCTTTTAGAACAAAACGGCCCCGCAGGGTAAAAGTGTAAATGTAGATGTATTCTGCTAACATGTATAACCTGACTCCGCCAGATGGATTTGCTCCGCATATCCATCTGGAAACCTTCCGTTGAAGTAATTTTGGGAAGGGGCGAAAATACTGGTTAGCTGATTGGCCTATGTTGGTGATAGACGGGCCAAATAAACCAATCAGATCAACGAAGCATATGACGTACTAACAGAGCGACGACGAAGAGGAGCCAATTGATAGATCAAACTCTTGCCGAAACCAGTCGGGAGAAGAGCAAAAACATCTTTTCCTCTGAGAAAAGCCTCCAGAGCAGTGTTTTGCTCTTCTTTCAGTGAAGAAATACTCTGTAATTCCAATAAAACTTGATCGATAGCCACGCTAACGCTAGTTTCATCGGCTGAATCCGCCATGTTCTTTAGACTGAACTGTCGCGCTTCTCGTTGCGTCACACCTCAACCCGCCTCAAAGCCAACGCTGATTGGACGTTCGTTTGGTGAACGGCTCCAAATTTTCTTTAACGGAGAGTCTCCAGACTGATCTGCGAGTGAAACCTTGTAGCCACTCAAAGCTAAATGACGTCACGTTAATGTTGAGTCCACATGCTAGCTCCTGTCAGTTTACCTAGATGAGAGTAACTTGATTCTGCCAGTGTTTACCAGTTAGGTTATTTAATGAAATTATTTTCTGATGTCTGCTGATATTAAATTATTGTCCAACTCTAACTTTTCCCAACTTCTGATCCAGGTGCACCACCTGTATGACGTGGATAAAGGCCACTTAGCCACCATAAAACTGAACGACAGTCAGGTTCACAGGCGTCAAGGTTTGTCTTTTTCTTTTTTTTTTCCTTCCTACACACTAGTTTATACAATCATTGTGCTTATTGTTGGCCAACTAGCACAATGATTGTTATGATAACCAGTTCCCCTTTTAGATCAGTCGGACCTGAAAATGTTTTGCAGAAAACAATGCGATGTTGACTGAGCGTGTCCGTCTCACTGGGAACTGATCTCGATCTTGCACAACCACTGAAAGTGACTAAGAGCTGCTTGTTCATGTGTTTGCTTTTCCAGATTCCATGAGTGGTTTTAACGAGTTGTTGAGATGGTGCCAGAACAATACCAGAGGTCACAAGAATGTGAACGTGAAAGACTTCAGCCAGTCCTGGAAGTCCGGCCTCGCTCTGTGTGCTCTGATCCACCACTTCAGACCTCATCTGATGTGAGTGAAATCTTTGGTTAAGGGGAATTTCTGGAAATAAAAAAATGATGTTTTATCATCAAATGGACGGTCACATCCACTGCTGATTCCGTGACTAGTCTTGGCCCCTTGGCTCAGTACGTTAAGCCGGTTATTACTAACTTAGGGGTTAAGATGGATGCTGGTCTTAAAATGGAAGCAAACATCAGAGCCGTTATAAAGTCCAGCTTTTTCCACTTAAAGGAATAGTACACCCAAAACATGATTAGCCTTCATTTTCTACTCACCCCCATGCTGAACAACACTCTGGAGTACTTTTTTGATATCTCAAATGCATCTGGAGATCTGGGAGGCTTCTTGCTGTCTGCTGACATTCAAATAATGGAGGTCTATGGTGCCCGAGGCAGAAAAGTCCACAAAAAACGTGTCAATATTCCTCCATACTGCTCGTCCAATGTATTCCAAGTGTCCTGAGTGGGTAGCGTCCAGAATTTACTCGAAACGAACTCATTTAGAATCAAGAATGAGCCTACGGAAACCGCGGCAGACCAAACCAGATGAAAGTGGTTTGGTCTGCCGCGGTTTCCGTAGCGTCGTGAACTCGCTTTTAGGAAATCCTATACACTACTGTTTATGCTCTAAAAACATTATAAATGACTTTGTTTCGAGTAAATTCTGGACGCTACCCACTCAGGACACTTGGAATACATTGGACGAGCAGTATGGAGGAATATTGACACGTTTTTTGTGGACTTTTATGGACCTTTCTGCCTCGGGCGCCATAGACCTCCATTATTTGAATGTCAGCAGACAGCAAGAAGCCTCCCAGATCTCCAGATGCATTTGAGATATCAAAAAAGTACTCCAGAGTGTTGTTCAGCATGGGGGTGAGTAGAAAATGAAGGCTAATCATGTTTTGGGTGTACTATTCCTTTAAGACTCATCTCTTTTCCTTGGCCTTTGGCACAATTTGAGAGGTTTTACTTTATTTTATTCTCTTTGTATACTCATATGTATTTTACACTCGTTTTTTTCTATTTTATAATTTTATTGTATTTTATGATTGTGTACAGCACTTTGGTCCTGTCCGGTGCATAAAATGCTTCATAAATAAAGTTGGTATGGTATGGTTCAGTGAACAGCTGCTGCATATAGTCGGTGTTTGGGTGTTTTCCTGTTCAAAAAATGTGTTTATCTTGTATAAAAGTTTAGGTTGTTGTTTTAATTGTCTAATGATTTTATGACGTTAACGCCAAACATGTTTTTTTTTTCTCCTTCCCTCTAAGTGACATGTCTTCCTTGGATGAGTCAAACAGTGTCCACAACCACCAGCTGGCGTTCAGTGTGGTGCAGCAGGAGCTGGGCATCCCTCCCGTCATGTCTCCAAGTGGTCAGATTGACAAGCTGTCCATCGTTCTCTACCTCACACAAATCAAAGATGCTCTTACTGCGCCACCAAAGGGTAAATATTATGCCTCTTGTATGTTAATTATTCAACAAACAGGAGACATAAAATGTATTTTAAAAGGTTATTTTAACTTATTCAGTTCAAAACATTGAATATTTGTATAACACATTGATTAAAACCAGGCTGATATAATGAGAGTATTTTGTCCTGTTTGTTATCCTTAGAGCTGAAAAAACTAAATTCTCAGACAAGTAGACATAAATAAGCCCAATAAAAATGTTACGCAATCACGAGGAAGAGTGTTGACTCAACAGGCAGCAAACAGTCGTTGAAATCCTCCACAATGAGGGAAAACCACAGAGGATTATTGCTCAAAAGAAAAACGCCTTTTTAAAGTGATTTCATTTTAAACATATATAATCTGAAAGTTGAGTGGAAGGACAAGCTTGCATGTGCACATGCATGTTGAATCATGTTTTATCTAAGAATACAAGTTTAGAAGTGATGATTCAAGTTGCAACTTTGCAAACCCACAAGTGCAAATTACAAATATAGAGATATAAATCTCTAATTTATGATTGATTCATTGACTGATTAATTTAGTTGCCTTTATTGATCCCACAGTGGATAAATTGACTTGTTACATTATCTCAAATACTCAAGAACAACAATGTGCCTGGGATAGATACAGTTTATGCAATGCGTCTAAATATAGCTTTTTATTTTTTTTTTTAATATAGTAGGATTATTATACATGGTTATTGCACAGGGTGTTTACATTGGTATTTATATACCTTAAATCCTCTAATATAGGACGGGGCCTTTATTTCACTCGGGTACTTCTTGGTCCTGGCCATTATTGGAAGGAGGCCAGAATTAGAGGCAGGCCTCTATTTGATCAAACAGACTACCAGTGGAATCAATAAAAACGAGACTTTGTATCTCTTTGAACCTATAAAATACGAGGTTCATTTACTGAAAAAGTGCAGTTACCATAAAGGTATACAGAACATTATTCAGAGATGTTCCAGCAGCTGCAATTTTTCCACATGGCTATATATATAAAAAAGATTACACAGAATGGAATCTTGGAATAAAAAATTAAGTAAAAATCACAAATCTAGAAGTAGAAATCATGTTAAACTCCTTACTACATATTGGCAGTAATGCAGCTGAAGGTTGTTCACTAATCACCAAAGAACAAAGACGAAGGAGAAGAAACAAAACCTTCTCTTCAAAGTTAATCAATTAATCTTTGCTGACATGTTGTTTTTAATGACAATGCAGCTATTTTCAACCTCTCAATGTTTTAAGCCAGTTAATGAACATTAATTAGGTGCATTATCGCCCCCAGCTGGTAATGAGTGTTACAGCTTCATCAGTGTTTACAAATTCACAAATTCAAAATATGCGATTTGTGCTTATATTTTAAAAAAAACTGCAACTTTACTTCTAAACTTGTATTTTAAGAGATGAAACATCTGATGTCATATGTATGTTTTAGTTGACAACAAGAAACCAACACAAATCTTTACCTTTAATTGACTTACAGTTATGAAATTAAAGACCTATCCATATGGAAGAAAAACAGTCTCAGAAATCTGCCTTATTTTGTATACTGAATTTTTAAAACTTCATTTTTTTTACAAAATTGATTTTCATTACACTGAATTTTTATCTTGTGAAAATTCAGCTGCAAAAAATTCAGCTGCAAATGTTAGGACCTTTTGGTTACGTTTTGTAATCATATTGATTTAACAGGAAAAACTCATTCAGCTTCATTCAGCTATACCCAACTGTTGTGTCACATGACCAAATTAGCTCATTTGATTGGCTAGAAGCTGCTCGACTGCATTGAGTGCAGATTGCTTGAGTTCACCAAAAGGTCACACTGGAAAAACAATCTAGAAATAAGTAAAAAGTTCCTTAAATTAAGTATATTTACCCTTAATTTGAGCAGGTAAATGAGATAGTTTGCCAATGGAATGAGTATTTTTTTTCTCTTAAAATAAGATAATTAGATAATATGAACTTTAAATAAGACAACGCAATTGTGTTTTCTAATTTTAAGTGTAAATTGTCTTGTTCCATTGGCAAAATGTCACTTTTACCTCCTCTATCAAGGAACAAATGCACCTAATTTAAGAAATAATTACTCATCTAGATTTCGATTTTTTTCCAGTGCATCACATTTGCAGTCAAATATTTTGCAGACAAATTTTTACCAGATATTAGAGACTGACATTTTTTCGTGAATCCCACGGGATTCCCTTGGGATTCCCGTGGGATGGGAGTCAGTATTGGTAACAATCACGTGATCGGGACGGTACAGGATTAAACATTAACGGGAGCAGACGGGAGCGGGAGCAAACCAATAATAACTTTAAAAAAAACTAGGATCGATGCCAAAAAATAAAATAAAATGGAAAGAAAAAAAAATCCAGTACTTGCGCCGCCATTTTGTAGTTTTTTTCCTTGAAGCCTACACTATAATGCGAGTCAAAAAAACTACACGACCCAAAAACCAACAGTGCTTCCGCTCTGAGTTTTTCACCCGCGCTCAAAAAAAAAACAATGGGAGCGGTGCAGGAGCAGGAGTCATTCTGAATGGGAGTGGGAGTAATTTCACCAGGAGTGGGGCGGGACAGGATTTAGATTTCTACTCTGGCCCGGGATCGGGACGGGACACAATTTTTTTCTGTGGGAGTGGGACGGGACAGGAGTCAAAATCCACTTCCGTGTCAGTCTCTACCAGATATAAATTCAGAGTACGGAATTCAATGTGAAAAAAAAAATCAGTGTTTAAAAATCTGCGTACAAAAAAAGGCAGATTCTAATTAGACTGTTTTTCTTCCATATATGCACACCATTTTATTGAGGCTAATCTTACACCATACGCCCAGCGTGTTTTATCTCTTCCTAAGGGATTGATTCTGTCTTTACTTTAAAATCCTCTCAAGGCAGAAACTTCTTTTCCCTGTAAGTTTATTGATTGGAATAAAGAGAGTACAAATTATTTAACACATTAGCTAAAAGCTTTATCGTAAACTTTCTAGACAATCTAGAAAGTTTACGCTAGAGTTTAAATCTAGAATCTAGTTCTAAATTTAAGATGCTAAAAACAAACCAGACATGTATTTAAAATATGGCTCTAACTAATATTTATTTTGCAAATCAATTAATCTGTTTGTTTTTTCAATTAATCGATTAATAATCACATAGCCACATATTATTTTTGACGAAATTAAACCAGTTTAAACTCAAACTTTTCCTCATGTGGAGTTCTGGATAGAGCATATTGACTTTTTTATATCTTAAAAGCAAAATGTTTCTATACTATTTTACAATCTTGGTATAATTCCTGCTCTAAGTTGGCCGCTCTGTCAGCTAAAGGCATGTTTTACAGTCTCTATACTCCAGTTAACGATTAATCAATCACTAAATTAGTTGACCATTATTTCAATAATTGATAAATCTGATAAATTGTTTTAGCCATCATTTAGATCTCACAAAATTTCTGTGAGCAATGCATAAAGCATTAATTATACATTCAGATAAGAAAAGTTGATACAAAAAAAGAGCAGTCTGTTGTAATATGGGTTTTTATTAGCTGTTAGGCAGCGAATCAAATAGAATAAATTAGCTTTTCATTGATTTTCAGATTTATTGAGATGCACCTGTCTTCCTCAAGATGGTTGCTTAGACACCAGTGTCGGCATCACCTCAAAAGAGGGTTTTTTTTTCTCCCTTTAGAGATAAAGTGTGGACTGTCTCTTTAAAAGCAGGCTACCCATAATTCACTGGGCCTAAGAGGCTTGTGCCGTGTTCAGAGCCAGCCTGTACCGGTTGTGTCGCTCGCCTGCACTGAGCCAGCCTAACAGCAGGCAGAGTGGGCAGACGGCGCGGAGCCGAAGGGGGAGCAGCCTCTCCTCAGGGGCAGCTATTCCCTCGACTGTCTGCAGCAGAAGCATTTCAATGAGGAGGCGCTGCAGCGTAGAGCGTTGAGGTGGGTTTCGTAGAGACGATGCTGCTCTGCTTCGGATCTGCTGAGTGATGTGCAGGCAGGAGGGAGCAGTCGGTCTCTGTAACCTCATCTGAAGGAGAAGGGGGGGGGGGTGGTAGTGATAACTGGGGCTGAAGAGTTTCTATTTGGTTTGGCAAGTTACAATCTGCTGCTGCTGATGTGACGCCACAAAGAACACAGCAGTAATCGAACATGATGCGTTGTGGCTTAAAGCTTTCATTAGGGAAAAAAAAAAACGCACCATCAGTGAAAATTAAGTGGAATTGTTCCAGTGCCTTAATAATTAATTGTTTTCCCGTCTGACGTTTCTTTCCTTTTCTTTTGACGGCAGAACCTGCAGGCCCCGTACCGCCGTCCAAGTCTCCGAGTCTCGCTCGGACACAGTCGGTTGTCTTTTTCTTGAGCAAGCTGAGGAACCGCTCACTGCAAAGACAAAAGGTATGCCCACCTAGACGGGGCTGACACAGCACGCAGAAATATGTGACACAGACGTCTACTGAGGTTCTTGTTCAGCGTGCAGTGTTCGACTCTTATGTCCGTATTTGTCCACAGGAAAAGCTGGCAACTCTGAAACGAGTTGCAAAGCCTGAGGACAGGATGGGAGATGTGGAAAACGTGAGTTTTATTTATTTAATCAGCTCAGCTTTCAGTGATGAGTAAAGAGAAAATAACTTTTATTATTTGAATGATTCTCCACTCAGACTTCAGAGCTACTTGAGTCTCCTGAAGTCCATCCGGTTCCTGCTGCTCCTCTGGAGCCTGAAGTGATGACCAACAGTGAGCAGTGCTACTTCTGTGGAGAAATGGTGTACGTGGTGGAGCGCGTCAGCGCGGAGGGAAAGTTCTTCCATAGGAGCTGCTTCACCTGTCATAAGTGTGGCATCACACTCAGATTAGGAGGGTACGCCTTCGACAAGACTAGCGGTGAGCAGGGCTGAAAATCCCATCTCATTCTTGTTTTTTTTTTTTTTTTTGGTTGGATAAAAGGAAACATTTTGGAGTTATTCCTAAGGGGGGTTGTCGAATCAAAGTGATGTTTCTGTAACCTGACTCCGCCAGATGGATTTGCTCCGCATATCCATCTGTGAAACCTTCCGTTGAAGTAATTTTGGGAAGGGGCGGAAATACTGGTTAGCTGATTGGCCTATGTTGGTGATAGACGGGCCAAATAAACCAATCAGATCAACGAAGCATATGACGTACTAACAGAGCAACAACGAAAACACAACCACAAGCCAGGCTACTCTTGGCGAAACCAGTCGGGAGAAGAGCAAAAACATCTTTTCCTCTGAGAAAAGACTCCAGAGCAGTGTTTTGCTCTTCTTTCAGTGAAGAAATACTCTGTAATTCCGATAAAACTTGCTCGATAGCCACGCTAACGCTAGTTTCATCGGCTGAAGCCGCCATGTTCTTTAGACTGAACTGTCGCGCTTCTCGTTGCGTCACACCTCAACCCGCCTCAAAGCCAACGCTGATTGGACGTTCGTTTGGTGAACGGCTCCAAATTTTCTTTAACTGAGAGTCTCCAGACTGATCCGCGAGTGAAACCTTGAAAGCTCGCGAGATCAGGATGGTCTCACTAGGCTAATGTTTCTGACCCTAAATGATCCAAAGCTAGTCCTGCTAGTCGTAGCTGTCAAGTCTAACAAAGTGATCACCATGGTTACAAAGATAAATCTGGAAACTACAGCAGTTTACAGCCACTTTTCCTCTTTTATAGATTCTACAAAAACCCTAGTGTGTGTGTGTGTGTGTGTGTGTGTGTGTGTGTGTGTGTGTGTGTGTGTGTGTGTGTGTGAGTGTATGTATGTGTGGCCATGTCTTTAATACCTGGTGGGGACAATTTCCTAGGAATATGCTACATTTTGGGGACTCATAGGTACTTGTGGGGACCAACAACTGGTCCCCATAAGGAAAGTTTCTCTTCTTGGGGTGGGGGTTAGGTTTAGGACTAAGGTGTGAATTGAGTTTAGGTTAGGTTTAGGGATAGGTATGTGTCGGTAATGGTTAGGGTTAGGGCAAGGGTCATGGTTAGGCCATATAAATTAGTGGGAAATGAATGGAAGTCAATGGAAGGTCCCCACAAGGATATTGTGTCACAACATGTGTGTGTGGGTGTGTGTGTGTGTGTGGTGGGGGGATAAATAAACAACAACAAAACTACATGGATGAGGGTTTAAACTCTCGTGTCAAAAAAGGCGTCCAATGTTTAACCTGGATGCTGTTTGGGTCAAATCAGTGAATTGAATGGCTTAAAATAGTTTTTCCTGGTTTATGCTACAGCCGTGCATGTAGTATTCCTCTCTCAGACAGCTCCTGGATCGGCTTCTCTGATTGGCTGACGCTCGGCGTCCAACTGCAAAAGTTCTGATTTCCCTACTTCGGTACATTAATCAGATGATAGAATAGAATACAATAGAAAATCCTGTTATTGTCCCCAAATGGGGATATTCTGGTGTTTATAGCAGCAAAAAGATTATAGAAAAAATGGTCACATAAATAAGGACCTTAGAAAAATTTATAAGAATAACAATAAAAATATAAAACTGTTCACCTGGAGAATAAATAACCAATATGCAGCAATGGACATTTTTACAGTAATGGATTTTTGAAAATAGCAGCAACATCAGAGATGTGCAGAATGACAGCAGCAGGTTATTTAACTGACTAAGTTAGAAACTGAGCAAAATCAGCATAAATGGAACAATTTGAGGATGTTGGGAACAGTGGTGGTTCTAGAGTCTTCCAGCTGCTGGGAGGAAGGATCTGTGATAACGCTCCCTGGTGCATTTAAGATGCAGCAGTCTGTCACTGAAGGAGCTGTCCAGTTCAGCACCAGCTTCATGCACGGGTTGGGAGACATTATCCAACAGAGATGTTAATTTAGGATTCTTGTTTCCCACCTCCTGCACTGAGTCCAGAGGGCGTCCAATCAGAGAGCTGGCCTTCTCGATCAGCTGATCCAGCTGCTTTTGGCTGATTTATACTTGGAAACCAGGTCGTCTGCGTGTGGGTCGAAGTGAATTCAAATATCCTTCCGCAGACACACTGGTGCATCTCTCCAAAATTGTAGGTGACCGCAGATGGTGCTGCAGACAGATCGGTCAAATCTACTTCCGTTCTACACTCTATCCGTATTTCCTGTTTGGTTCCTTACCGGCTTGTTTTGTTTGTATGACCGCCATTGTGGAAAACGTCGCGTGAAGATGGACCAGCTAGAAGAGCGAGATGCGCAAGAATGCTGGGACCCTTTTTCCACCTGGAAATGTGAAATCAAAGATAATGTAATTTAAAAAAAAAAGTGAAGCAGTTAAGAAATGCTGGCTGAATGCAAGTGGCGACCATCAGAACAGAGCAGCCCAGAATGCACTGAGAAGCTGAGCTACTTCAGGTCGGCTCTAAGCACATTTATAACACAGTAAATCAGCATGATTGACGCATGAGGAGGGAGCTCCCACACATCAGACATCTGAGAAAATAGAAAATTTTTAATAAGGAGAGCGCAGTGTCTGGTGTCTTGTTACTCTGCAGGCCATAAATGGATTTCCTTCTGCTTCTCTCAGCACGACGGTGTGAACTTTGTTCCATAATTGTTGCAAGTAATAAATATATTTTGTTAATGGCAAACGGGAAAAAAAAAATGTGACCCAGATAAACCTCTTAATCCAAACAAGGTTTTATTATAACTTTGCTTTTTTTTTTACTTTTTCAAATTTCAACTTTTTTAAAGTTTACTTTATATTTTAATTATAAATTTTGCAAAAAAAAAAAAATGCAGCCCAGAAATTAAAATAAAAATTATATTTTTTTCTTTAGATTTTACATTATCAAATGTTTCATTTTTTCGATGTTACTTTTTTAGATTGACTTTTACAAACTGCTTTATTTTCAAATTTAATGCTACAGATCACATTCTCTTCCTTCCAAATCCAATGCAAACACTTGCTTTTGACCAATAAAAATGTTGCTGCTAACGTCCAGCAGACCAATAAAAATGCATCTTCACTTACTCCAGAGGAAAGCCCCAGAAGTATGGAGAATATATGTACAACGCAAATTGCTCTCTTTAAGGGTCATATAAAAGATATTAAACAATTTAATTTTAAAAAATTGTTATAAAATGAAAGAAATTGGAAAAAATAACAAAATCCTTTAGAAAAATAATATTTCAGAAAACAGCAAAGTTACTCTGTAAAGAATTTTTTTTACTTAAGAGGTTTTTAAAATTTTTGTTCTTTTTAAATTTTCATGTACAAAACTCGTTCTTTGCTCATAACAATGATGGAACAAAGTTCACTCCATACACAATCTGCTTTTCCATTCCCCCCATAAACAGAATCTGGGCGTCTCAGTACCGTAGACAGAGAGCTGAACTCTGACCCCTAGTGCCTTAGTCTGCATATCTATATGCTGTTATTCTTTGACGTTAGCTTTTAACATTCAGCAGGAAACTCTTGCTCTACCTGAGTGAAGTTGGCCCCCCCACCTTCTTTAAATCAGACAAAATTAGTGTCATACGTTTGTGCAGCAAAAAGTTTCGTTTGTGCCGCTATCATTTTAAATATATTAACAAATATTTCTAGAGGTCATCAAAGGTCAACCATTCCCCCCACCTTCTTCAAATCAGACGGAATGGGTGTCAATTAACTCAGCTCCGTTTGTGCTGCTTTGTGCAGCAAAAATGTTAATTTGTGCCACTTTGGGTTTGAAGATATTAATGAAAATGTAAAGATCAAAAGGTCAACCAGCCCCCCCACCTTCTTCAAATTAGACAAAATTGGTTTTAAATGTTTGTGCTACATTTGTGCAGCAAAAATGTTCGTTTGTGCCGCTATCATTTTAAAGATATAAAGAGATGTTTCTAGAGGTCATCAAAGGTCAACCAGCCCCCCCACCTTCTTCAAATCAGACAAAGTGGGTGTCAAATGAAGCTAAGGCGGAAATTCAACTGAAGAAACTCTGATTACTTCCATTCAATCTGAGGCTGATCCGCCTCTGATGCAGCCAATCGCTTCAAAATACATCTCCTCGATGCCCAATCATCTTCCAGCACTCACCTTAAATGCCACTCCAAATCATCTCTCGGCCTGCTCTTCAACAAGCGCAAGATCCGTCGCTATGACGGATTTTGATTCAGACAACCCACCTCGATGCTCCTTCAACCTCACCTCCAGTGCGTAGTCCCTCCAGACTTTCATGGAGTTCCCTGTCACTTTAAACGGTCCCGCAGAAGACCGCCATGTTGAGCCTGGTTCTGCCAGAGATTTCTTCCCAAAGGGGAGTTTTTTCACTCCACAGTCGCTTCATGCTTGCTCTTCATGGACAGTTTATGCAACTTTGTTCATTCAGTGACATCTAACTCAAGCATCACCTTGTATACCAGCCTCTATGGATTAACCAAACTTCATCTATCTAAACTCCACCACCAGTTTCAGGCCCGGGGGGAAATATCCATACTCTCAAACATCAGTTTATCTGCATTAAAGTATAAATCAGTGTTTATGTTTCCTGCCGAGGCCTGAGCGCCAAAGTTCAAACTATTGTATCAATAAAACTCTTCTAATTGCATCTTTCTCTCTCTGAGTTTTTCAGATTGAATTAACTCAGCTCCGTTTGTGCAGCAAAAACAGATGTTAACTGACCTTTGATGACCTCTACAAAATATTATTAATATCATTGAAATGATAGCAGTACCAATAAAAAATGTTGCCATACAAAAATATAAAATTTTAAAATAAATTATAAACATAAAATATTTAAAATAAATATATAAAAAATTAAAAAAATGCATATTTTAAAATATATAATTTTTTGTACTGCTATCATTTTAATAATAATTGTTTTTAGAAGCCATCAAAGGTCAGTGAACTTATTTCATTCTGAAACTCTGAATTTCTTATAAATTATAAGTTGCTAACCTATGACTATATAATTTTAAACTGTAAAAAAATGATAGCGGCACAAACGAAAATTTTTGCTACACAAACGTTTGACACTAATTTTGTCTGATTTGAAGAAGGTGGGGGGGCCAACTTCACTCAGGTTCTTGCTCTTTCTCCTTGGCACCTTTTCAGGATGTTTAATAAAGTCGTATTGCTCTTTATTACTTATTTTACCCCCCATAAGGATTTTTCTATGTTTAACCAGCAACATCAACAATAATATTATTAGGTGGAAGGAGGTAATAATGCAACTTTACTAAAATCTAAAAGGATTTATTTGCATTCTTCGCTCATTTTTAACTGCCGTGCATAAAAATATTTTTATAAGAAATTAAATCTCAAACTAATTTCCAGTGCTTTAAAAATAAATGCCATCAAAAATCAAAGAAAATCAAATTACTCCCTTGAAATATACATTTACTTCTCCGTCAACTAAAACGATATCAACATTTACTACTATGCCGCACAAAAGGCAACCTTTTTACATATTCATATATCTGTTTAGATATAGATATATAGATATAGATGGATATATGGACAACTTTTAACCAGATTTTTGTGCCCCAGGGCTGAAATAAGTCACCGATCTGACGATGAACCAAAAGGCTTAACTCATCTTTAAAGAAAAATATTTATATTTTTGTTTTTCTTGAATGTTTTAATTTAAGCCACCACTGAATCTATAAGTGTGGGTTAATGTTTATCTGTTCAGGATACGAAAATATTTATTAAATACATGCATCGCGAGTCGCATTTAAATTTAGGTAGTTCTTGAATTTAGGAGGTGAGATACAAGTGAGACGCCAATGGAACAAGATAATTTAGATTTAAAATAAGAAAAAAACTATTGCATTGTCTTCTTTTAAGAGCATAATTATTTAATGAGTAAAAATGCTCATTCCATTAGCAGGATCAACTTATTTAACTGTGAAAATTAAGGGAAAATGTACTTAATTAAAGAAATGTTGACTTATTTCTAGATTGTTTTTGCAGTGAGGGTCTGGTTCAGGGACCCTCTCTACCCTGGACCCGGGACAATTGAGTCGGTTTTACCCCAAATGCATTTTAAAAACTGAATCTCTCACAGGGGGGGAAAAAAATCTCAGTTAAATGTTAATCAGGGTTATTTCTAACAATATCTACCTGGCAGTATTTTTTAAAGACCTGTCATCTTTTACCTCATCTACAGTGATCTCTCTATTTCCCTCCTCCTCGTTCTCTCAGTGCTGCTGCCTACATATTCCTTTCAACCTCTCAGCCATCATTAGCTCGGCTTTTTCCTTCACTATGAAGCCGATAAGAGAGGTAGACTTTAGACGAAGAGGTAGAAATATTACATTTCCTGTTAAAGCCAGTAAGTCATTTATCACATCACCAGCAGGTTTAACATGTTTCCCCCGTGTCCCGCCTGCAGGATTTCCGCCTGTGGCGGCGAGTTAAGTATTGTTTGTGTCAAATAAGGCTCTAATGCAATATATTTTTGATTAACTTGTCTGCCTTCTGTTCTCCAGCCGTGTTGGATAAATTAATAAATCTCTTGTACAGCTTATATAAGGAACCTCCATATGAATTTAGTTTTTTTCAAAGAAATGTAGCCTGTTTCTCTTCTTTAAAAACGGATTTCAGCTTTCACATTACAGGTCTGCTGATGTTCTATAGAAGGAGTCAAATGATCAAAGATTGAGAAAAACGTCCATCTTTGTGGGATTATGTTTAATATGTTGTAAAAGAGGCCTTTGAATGCCTGAATGCTCAGTTATAGTGACGTGGAGAAATTAGCTCTACGGATGTTTATATCTAAATAACACCCGTATGTTGTTCTTCACATGGAGCTTTCCACATAATTACAAATGTTTCTAGATGTGCAGGGCGATGTGGGTGCTAAAAACAGCTTATGTTATTGGCACAGACCTTTCAGTATAAACCAGGCTTAAACCATGTTAGATTTTCATGCAAACTGTGGTGTTAAAAAGTATTCCGAGCTAACAGCGCAGACTAGCATTGGTGCAATTTGGAGGTATGTGTGCTTCCACATGGACGGCCCCCCTATTGTTTGGAAGTGCATGATGATTCACATGGAAATGCACTCAGCGTTTGGATTGTTGGCTCTTTATTTCACCTTTGTTTGATAGCAGAGCAGAAATTCACATGCAAATATTTTAGTGGAGCATCTAGGAGCATCGGGAGGTCCTGCAGCATGTTTCCATCTACAGTTATCTCAGGAACTGATCTTCTGTCTTCACCCACAGGGAGATTTTACTGCGAGCAGCACTCTGAGGCTCTGCTGCTTCCAAATGGGGTTGAAACCTCACCTGAGGTGGGTCACAAACTCTTTGAATCCGTCTTTCTGACGTGGGTCTGCAAAGCTTCTCACTTATTTGCCTTTTTCTGTTATTAGGGCATTAAAGAGGAAATGGAGGAAGAGAACGAGCTTTCCAGTGAGGGTTATACACCATCTCCATCCGACGAGGAGTTTTTCCTTGATCCCAAACCAGAAGGATCAGCTCAGAGTGAACGTGAGGCCGCAGTAGAGTCGAGCGTTTCACCTGAGCCTGCAGCTAAGCACAAGGTTCAGGTGCCCGAGTCGATGCCTTTTCCCGTTCCAAAGCCACGCCATGTGCGTCAGACGACTCCCAACTCCGAGCCCTCCCCTCCAGTGGCGAAACCCCGCAAAGTCCTGTTGGCTCCACCAGCCGCTCCAGAGGAAACCTTAGCAGTAATAGACTTCTCTCTTAAGCCATCGCTGCGAAAGCTTCAGCTGTCCATCGAGGAGAAACATGAGCTCGGGAATCTGCAGAGCTTCAGCGCAGACTCGGACTCGGAAACCCAAGGCGGATCTTCCTCCTGCTCCTCATCCTCCGCGAATGCGTGCGGGCCTCCTAAACGAGAAGGGCAGGACGGACAAGAGGAGGACGGCTACTGGAGCGGGAGCAATGCCAGTCTCATCCGGGAAAAGAAGAATCGACACTGCTTCAAGAGGAAAGAGATGCCGAATGGGCAGAACCGGGTACGGTCCAAATTCTCCCCCTGGAATCTGTCCTCCCCGAGGATCAGCAGGGACGCCCGACTCAGCGTCCACGTCAGTCAGCCCGGCAGAGTGGGTACGTCCAGCCCTCATCCTGTCGTTCACTGTGGAGAAAATAAAAACATAAAAATACTTTGCTAAATATTTACTTTGCTGTTATAACAGAGACGACATTCGGACATATTCACAGCGCCTCAGAGGATGGCGTTGATGAAGATGATGACGACGAGGACGATGATATGTTTGAAGAGGAAGACTATACCGATATGAAGGTAAAGGTGTGAGGAGATTACGCTTTAATGATGGTCGGCGCATTCAAAGTTATCCATGTGCTCAGCTGCTAGTGCCAGGATTTTTAATCTGATTTGGATTATCTTGGTGAAATGAAGGATGTGGATGTTGTCTGTGTGTCTATAGTTTGAATCAGGGCCAGTTGACCCAGTGGAGGCAGAGAAGTTTGAGTGGAAGAGGATGAAGACGCTCGAGCGGCGAGCCAAGATGAGCGTAATGGAGCAGTTCTGCAAAGCTCAGGTCTGTACGAAAGCTAAACATCTTTTTCGTAAATGTTAACTGTGTCTAAACCAGGTGTATCCTGGGAAATCGGATGAATCCTCCTCCTCTACATTACTCATCTTTTCACTGAGATCCTGAAAGTCCAGCAATTAAAATTCACTCTTTAAAAGCTTAAAGCAGACATCATTGATTAGCCAACCGTGGTCCTTATCCGGACCCACCTGATTTAGAAATTACTGCATGTTGTCCAACAGTTTCTAATTTCACTTGCGCCCCTTCTCCAGTTAATACAGTAAAGCCCTCCGGAGCATCCGGCTCCAGGCTGCAAATGAGCCAATGAGCTGTCAGTCTGGGTTGCTGCTGCTGCTGCTGCTACTTTTAGACACAGCAGGCAAACCTGTGGCAAGCCGGGCGATGGGAAAGAAGGAGAAGACCATGAGAAAAAGAGAGCAGAGAAAGTGTGGACTGCTGGAAGAACTGCGGTGAACTGGTGAAAGAAAAGTGAAATGGCGTGCTCAAAGATGACCCTGCACATTTAGAGGATGTTTGGCTCAACCTGCTGCTGTGAAGCAGGATTCTCCACCATGAACAGAATCAAAAATTAATATATATCCAGGCTCAAAATGAGCACCTTGATACGTGCTTGAGAATGGCTTAGTCTCCATTTAAACCCAGGTTTAAAGCCTAAACCCCACTGCCAACATTAAGACAGAGAAATTAAAAAATAAATAACAAACGGTCAGTTCAGGTGTTTTATGAAAGATGGGAATCAGGAAATTGTCTTTATACCAAACTGAAAGATTGTTATTCTCTACTTAAAAAAACAACACTTTAGATTTAAAAATAGAAAAATGCAGATCTGGGCATTTTAAGTTAATTTAGGCGTCAATTTACCCTGTCAGCTCTCATATCAGCTTTTCTGTTTGGTTGATGTGACGCGTCGAGCAACAGAAGTTACATTTTTTCAACTCCAGCAGCTGCTGTGTTTGCAGCACGTCACACTCATCAGATGCTCAGAAGCTCGTGGCGCGCTGCTCCTGCTGCTCGACACGCACTGCTGCACCTTGATGCGGGTCTGACTTTGCATGCAAACTAGCTGCCTCTGCTGCTTTAGGTGTGAACGTAGCATAATGATTTTCTCAAGCATAATGTGACTTTTAAGAAGCTAAAACGCTGTTGATCCCTGTTGACATGGTAGCACATAACCGGCGTAATCAGAAGCAGGGTTTAGAAATCGTTCTCTGTGATTAAAAACTGGGTTTTGGTGTAAACAAAAAGCAAAACTGCACAGAAATATCTGAGATTTCTCTTGGTGTAAACTGGGTGTGGGTCTCTCACTAAGACCCTTAACTCCACACCGCTCCCTGAGCGCCGCACAATGGCAGCCCACTGCTCCACAAGAGTTAAATGCAGAGAAATGCGCTGTACTTGTGACAGTGTAATGACAATTAACAAAAAAATCTGGGAAAAAAAAAGTTGTGGAGGATGTTGTTTTTCTGGGTGGATCATTAAATTTGGTGGTCCTCCTTATTCGGGTGATGTTTACGGAAGGCCGTCCTACGTCCCTATTTTCACTTACAGGTGTTATGCCGGGAAAATACCTGCCTGCTGAGAATTACCTTTTTTAAGCATATTCTTAATGTTTTGACATAAAATGTTATAGAATGGTGTTGATAGCAAAAGCGGAACAGAGAATATTTTCATTGGACATTGACTGTAGCACATCGACTAAAACGTCTTTCCTTATGAATAAAAATCATATTCATTTAAATATATCTGTCCACCAAAACTCAATTTTAGGGCATCCATGCACAAGAAATATGAAAACAACATTAAAACAAATAAGAATATGTTTAACTGTTCCCTTTTCGTTCATATTTCAATCAATTTGCGAGAGTTTAGGGCGATGCGCACTCCTGCAACAGGAGGAAATTCTCAGTAGGCAGGAATTTGTTTGCATTTATCTGTCCACCAAAACTCAATATTAGGGGCATCCATAATTAAGAAATATGAAAATATTAAGAATATGTTTAAGAATTCCCTTTCGTTTATATTTCAGTCCATTTTCTCATCAGTGTGCGAGAGGGGAGGTATTTCTTGGCATATCAAATAGTGGAGAAAAAAAAGCAAATATTTTTTGGGAAAGTAAGCATATATGAGCAACGCAAACAGTAACTTTTAAACGGGGCGTGCACGAGCCCAGTTCTCCTCGTGCACGCTCCGTTTAAAAGTTACTGTTTGCATCGCTAATTTCTCGTACGCGTTTAATTGCCGTTCCCTCTCGGTAGCGAGTACAGGGTGGTGCATGTGCTTTTTTTTTTTTTTTTTTTTTTTTTTTGTGGAGAGGTTAAAATTAGCAAAAATCCTCCATTATACATTTCACTTGATAAATTCTGCTGCAATGTCCAAAAAAAAAACTAATTTGCCTTTTATTGTTTTCAGTAAAAACCGCTAAACTAATGCTTCTTAAATGAGAGAAGTAAAGCTGAGTTATTTAAGGGCTGAGTGGTAATAGAATGAAAACCCTCCTTATGCTGGTCTCACCATATAACTGGCTGTAACCTTTTACAAAGAGTGTGTTGTTTTTAAACCAGAGTTCCCGCGGGTCCTTAAAAAGTCTTAAAAGGCATTGAATTCTTCAAAATAAAACTAAGGCCTTAATTGGTCTTAAATCAGTCTTTCGTAGGTCTTAATTTTTAAAACATCATAAATAGGATTATTTTTATCACGATTTATTTTTGTTATCTAAATAAAACATTAGAATTGGCAAATTTTTTTTTTTTTATATAAAAAAAAAAACGGTTCGCCATTATTGGTTCCGTCCCGATAGCGGAACCAATAAAAGCGTTGTTGCGGCCGGGACATTTGGTAGATGCACCATTAACTTTTTTTCTGGAAAATATGAGCAAGTGTAAATGTAACCAAAATTGTCTCCAGCCAAGAGTTTTCTCCATGGCTAAAACCAGGGAACATACATGAGGCTCAGTGGATTTTCTGCAAGAAGCGATTCAAGCTCAGAACGATGGGAATTAAGGCAGTGGAGTCGTAGCCTGGGTGCCAGTCAGAACTTAGCCCCGCCCACAAGGTTTGAGTTCGGGGAAGTTCGGTCTGGCTCTGCTCCATAGTAGCGCGAGTATTATCGCCCACTGTCAGGCGATCCAATCAATTTGTCAGGGCGGACTTTATACGATGATGGACAGATGACCAACAGTAACGTAATCAACCACGTGACCAACGCGTGCTTGGGTGACAACAATAATGGCTGCCGTTGGAGAGTTTGGGTGAGTAGATTCTGCTATTAGGTCTGTTCTAGAAGATATCGACAGCAAATTAATTTTAAAAGAGGAACAGAGAAACGCGATCAAGTCTCATTTTTTTATTCTAGGCGTGAAACTGCACGCTTTGATTTTTGTGGACAACAACTATGCCTCGCTTAACATACGTCACGCACTCCGTTGCTCTTATTGAGTGCAGAGGCATTTTTTTTCCTGGTTCGTTCGAAACACGCCCCATAATCACAGCTCTATGGAGCAGCATCAGACTCATATTCTGACTAGAATTGAGTCGGACTACGTCAGGCTAGTGGAGTCGCACATGCGAAGCACGAAACACAAAGCGTCAAAATGGAGTTACAGAGAAACAGCCGGTATTTCTCAGTTTAGTTCCACCCTTGTCTCTGCAACGCCTCCACTTATCACCAAATCAAACATACTAAGAAAACGATACAAAGAAAAATAGCTGCTAAAAAGACTTAGCACTGGTTATGTTGGGGCTTTAAAACTGATTTGTTTTGTTCCCTGCTAAAACAAAGTTTGTGAATTCAGTTAAATAATTGTTCAAATATATCTGTCATTTGTGTGTTTTTAGCTTTCTTCCTGTATGAGAAGCTTTTCAAACTTTGAAACATTAGTGCAGTGATTTATGTTAAAATAAACCTTTGGGTAAAGTTGTTGCAAGCAGGTTTTTCTTGTGTTTCTTGTGAATTTGGTCTTAAATTTTTATTTCAAGCGGCATTAAAAAGTCTTGAATTTAACTCGCCTTATGCTGTAGGAACCCTGTAAACCCAACTGAACCTGAAGTACTTTAAAAATTTGGGGTCTGCTCCTTTTAAAATGAAATGTTTATTTTTCAGTCAATTCAGCGCAGACTGGAAGAGATTGAGGTTTCCTACAAGGACCTGGAGGAGAAAGGTGTGAAGCTGGAGAGGAGCCTGCGCAGAGAGCCCAGTAAGAGTCCTTTTATTTAATGCCTATATATAGTTCTCACATTACATCTAATTTACAGGCACTCTATAACTAACCACCATGTTGGTAGAAACCATAACTGCTAACTCCAACTTTTGCAATGTTTCATGTTGGGTTAAATGATGTTAGAACCATGCAGAAGGTTTCTCAGTAAGTAGTGCTGTACTTCCTGTGTGATTATGTCTGCACGGGCCAATCAGGTGGAGGCTCACAGAAGAGGTACACTGGGAAAAAAAATCTAGAAATAAGCAAACATTTCTTAAATTAAGTGTATTTACCCTTTTTTTGAGTAGGTAAATGAGGTAGTTTGCCAATGGAATGAGTATTTTAACACTTTAAATAAGATATTTAGATAAAATGCAAAATGTCTCTTTTATTTCCTCAATCCAAGAACAAATGCACTTATTTTAAGAAAAAAATGACTTATCTAGACTTGGATTTTTCCAGTGTATGTCCTCACCCCACATGTCAAAAAACATTTAACTTTGTGTGAAGCTGCAGTTCTTTGCGCGTGTGGGATTTTTTCACTGAAAAAATAAATGAAATCTTGATAATTATCCGTGTTGATAATGTAGTGTAAGCTAAGATGGATCCGTTTGATTATGTGACTATAAATGCTTAGTCTAAATCCCAAACCGGCCCCTAAGCACTAACCCTCTGTTTGCTCGTTCCCACGGAAGGTCCTCCACATTAAGGGTCGTCCCAAACCACATAGTGGGTAGGGTGAGTGGACTGTTCAGCCCTTAAATAGCGAGTCTGCATCAGGCTTGCTGGAATTTAGCAGCAGGTGAACTAGTGGCGGAAGAAACAGTTCCGCTGGTTTGTGCATCTTCTTCACACAGAGAGAAAATTACAAGTTAGGAAAATAAAATAAGACGTGATTAATCCCTAAATGGAAGTTTTATTTGAATGGTTAGATTTAGTTTTCAGAAAATGGCAAATATTTGATGTTATGTTAATCCACACCACAGAGCTACAGCCGTGCACATGCAGCGTTGCTGTGTTACCATAGGAACGACTGCTTTCCCTTCCCGAGAAACCTGATTTAAAATCATATTAATATCCTGCTTTGTGGTCCAGGGCAGAATCATCAGCAGCTTTGCCCATATTGTGTATCGGCTGAGGTAAAACAGAGCAGGTCTCTACTCTCTTAGCTCAGGAAAAGGCAGCAGCCTGTGCCTGTCAGACAGTACTCAGGGAAGCAGGGAGAGACTCATGGCAGCTGTTATAGTGCTGCTTTCATGTGTAACTGTTAGACTCACCAGAAACACAGAGAAAGGTCATTGGATTTGTTTCTAGTTGCTTAAAAAGTTACTAGAGGGTCTAAAAAGTCTCCAAATATAACAACAGTTTTTTATGTTTTTCTCACAGTTTCTAAAATCTAGAAGGTGAGATTCTACTTGGGCTTATATAAATTTCTAACTAACTTCTGGGATGATACAATAGAACTAAGAGTTACTGTAGATCAGTTTGTTTAATTAATATCTGCTAGTTTTCGACCACCCTGAACTGTTGCTTTACAGTGAAGCATTGCAGGATGGTCAGGCTCCCTGCACCCAGTGCTGAAATTCTATTTAGGCTGTAAAAGGGCCATCAGATTCTGTAAGATCAGCTGTAAACAGTCAGAAAAGTCAACTTTGGGGTGGATCCAGTAAAGCGCACAGCTTGGCTCCACATTTGTATTAATAGAAAGAAAACATTTTTTTTTTTTTTTGTTGGACAGCTGAATTTCTAATTCGAGTTGTCCCGAGTTTCTCCATGTGAGGCCGCCTCATGTGACGAAAATCTTCCTCTTCAACTTTAATATTCTTCCTCTTTTGAGAAAAAAACAAAAACAAAGGGTTTATTTTTTATTTTTTTCTCTTTTTCAGACAACACAGACTCTGATTCGATTGAACAATGGATCCAGCTGGTCCATGAGAAGAACGCCTTGGTGTCTGAGGAGTCGGACCTGATGGTGGAGTAAGTCAGAATCTCAGCAGCTTTGCACATTCAGCTCTTTAGTTCTTCATCCAACTAGAAACCCGGCAAAGATGGAAATCCATCAAGAAAAAAACCTGCACAGCTTTGTGTGGAGGAGCAGTGGGGTTAATAAGAACCTGGGCGCAGTTTGAGGTCAATGTTTGCTCTCACCATGGCAGCAGTGGGCCTCATTAATAGCCTGCAGCATCAGCAGGATGTTCTGCAGACATGGCTGAGCTACAGTTTGTTTTCCCCTCAGGTCCCGACAGCTGGAACTGGAAGACAAGCGCACCATGTTAGACCTGCAGTACAGGAAGTTAATGGACATAAAAGGTAGGCGTTTTCATCGGCAGAAAGCCTGGTTTCACTCCGAGCGAAACAAACAATCATACGGGCAGAAAGTACTGCCTCTAGAGACCAAATCTGAATTGCTCGTGTGTGTGTGTATATATATGTATATATATATATATATGTGGATGTATATATATAAGGGGTGGAACGATTCACAAAATCCACGGTTTGGTTCGATTCACGGTTTCTGGTCACGGTTTTCGGTTCGGTTCGATACATGTTGATTGTTACACCGAAATCCCATAAAAATGTATGAAATTAATGAAAAAAATCCCCCAAAAAATAATGGATTGTAATTATTTTAAATGATCCGCGGAAACCCTGGATCATTTCCGTATGTTTTGATGCTTTGAATTTAATCATCTGGTGCCTGCTCTCTACCATCTCCAAGGGACTCAGAGCGGAGCGGACCGGAGCCACAGTGGAGGCTGTAGACTTTGCTTTGAGCAGGCGGTCTGGAGCGCAGCGGAGCGCTGACGGAGTATGAGGGATTTCGGGGTTTGCATGACATGTTGGTCATGTTGCTGTTAGCATAAACAAAATGTGTTGCACAATGCTTGCACATTGTTGCACTTTTATCCACAGCTTTCTTCCCGCCGTCATCGTAGGTCACTCTAAATGCAAAGCGCTCCCATACAGCAGACCTATAAAGTGCTGCTGGCGCGTCTTCCAACTCCTGTTCTTTCCCACTCGCCATACCCACACAATTCTCCACAACAACTGATTTTTTCCCCTGCTACATCCGGCTACGCTGCTTCGCTTCTTCTTCTTCTTGTTTACTACTGGTGGTTGGCTTTGGTCGCAGTACCGCCACCTTCTGCTCTGGAGTGTAAACGCTTCGCCTATGAGAAAAAGGAGCAGCGCATGAACCGAATAGGGGTGGGTATTGCCAAAGAAGTCACGATGCGATTCTATCACGATGCATCACGATACTTGAATTATTGCGATGCATTGCAATATTTTCTCCTCCATGTTTTGTTTTTGAATGACTCGTCGCAGTATCCCGCGGCCAGAAATGCTTGTGACACAAGGCAGCGTGCGTCAACACATCCGCAGCGACATCTACTGGACTGGAAGTTGTATTACACTTGTTTTTTGGCTGATGTTCGCCAACCATTCATGCAATTTTATTTATTAATTTTTTTAAATTAATAAATGATACTTGGCATCAAGAATCGATGCAGTAGATCACGAAAATTAGAATCACGATGCATCATCATCACGATGATTTTGCACACCCCTAGAACCGAACGGTTCGGACGGTTTTCAAAAACCATTCCATCCCTAATAAATATATATTTATATATATATGTGTGTGTGTGTATATATTTCAACATATAGCATATAAACATATAGCGCCCTCTATTGGCCAACCACCACTGATTAAATACCAAGATAAGATGTACAGCCATGTAGCTGTATCTTTACTGAATGGCTCGATATAGATCTTGTGCTTCTAGACCTCATTGAGGGACGGGGGAGGGCTCCATTTGTAAGGGGTATGCATGTGATCAAAAAATGGTAACTTGCCTTATAAAGGGTTAAAGGGCGACGCTGCCTTCATCCATTGATGTTCTTTCAGTGCAGGAAACTAAATGTTTGACGCTGTTATAATTTTTTCTCCAACAGATAAGACTCCAGAGCAGAAGGCAGAAGAAGAGCGACTCATGGAGGAGATACTTGAGGTGGTGGCAATGAAGAACTCCCTGGTGACATTTTTGGAAGAGAAAAGGCTGAAAGAAATGAGCGAGAAGGAGGAAGCTCTCTCTATCAAGGAGGCTAAAAGACACTCCAAGACCGGAGCTCAAGTTCAGTGGGCTTAAGTTTTTATTTTGGTTCTATTTTTTTGGGACACGCCCTCACAGAATGGATGAACCTGTGTGGATTACAGGTGACGCTTCTTCCGTGTGCGAGAGTCGGACTCTGATCCTGAAGGTTAGATTAAAAAAGCCAAAGATGGAACATCATCGTTGGTGGAGAGAGGAGACCGTCAGTGGTTCCTTCAGAGTTTACAAAACATCTGGAATCCTGATGTGTGCAGAGTTTGATGAGAGGACTGATGTTTACACGTCTGTTGAACAATCACCATCAATCTGCTTTAGTGTCATAAAAGCACAGGCTGCAGATCAAACACAGGAGGGATTGCCTCTGAACTTGTGTTGCTTTATTGTTTCTATATGATTTTAACTGTTAAAGTATCAGTGGATGAAAGTCACATATAGGTTATCTAGATTCTGTTTTAATAGAAATATGAAGCCAGTTCCAAAGAGGAGAGGATCTTCCCATACCAGTACAGCCGATTTACAGTCTGTTCAATTTCTTTTTAGCTTTTCATCTTTATTGTTAAGGAATTTTGTAGCACTTTCTTGTTTTTATTTCATCGGTTCTTCACAGCATGCCGGTTTGGGAATCTCAGGGGTCTGTAGTGGAGTTGTTGGCTCACGTTCTTTAACTAGGTGGGATTTATTTAATTTTTTTCATGGGTGAAAAGCAGACTTGAGTTGGACTGGTTCGTTAAACTTTAATGCCTTCATTGATCACTTGCAAATGAAAGAAACTGAGACTGAAACAAGTCGGTTAAAAGAAGCCTTATGCCATATATATCATCCTGCTGCCATTTTGTGCCATTTGAACACTTCACAGTATATATCAAATAAAGATATCGCACTTTGACTCTTTGGTTTTAATGTGTTTTTTTTTTATATATTTATAAACACAACTGGAAACCGTTCGATAACAGTATCCTGCTGCTATTCAACCTTCAAACCTCTAGGGGGCGAACTAGACTAATTTAAGAATGGATATTATCATTGCTTAGGAGGTTCAGTTTGATCAGTTTCTGTTTGCAAGCTGTTTTCTTTAGCTGTTTTAGTTTATTTTATGAAATTAAGAGTAAATTGAAATAGTGTAAGTGCTCCTACAGTCTCTCACAAGTGATTCAGCTTCTGGTGAAGAAATACCAGCCGCCTCCTCATGGGAAAAAGCTTCATCTTTCATTAAGGTTTGGTTTGTGCTGCAGCCGCCTTTTATTTAGTCTAAATGAGTTAAACGGTAGCTCTAGAAACCTTCCAGGTTAGGTTTCCTTATAGATGGCGCAATACTCTATGCCAGGATTTTTTCAGATGCTTGACAGAGGGCATCTTTCCTCCACATGATGCCCGTTTCCAGCAGCAGAGGAGGCAAAGCAGCTCCAGAGCACAGCTTTTAGCTTCTGCTTTATTCTTCATCCAACAGATGTGGCTGATATTCACCCAGATTTCCAGTTTGGATTCAAAACTCCACAGAACAGAGTCCTAAAACCTTTAAGGATGTATTTATTTAGATTTTAGCAAAAATTAGCCAATTATTTTGGTTGTGTTTGCGGTTAGTTGTCGTGAACTTATTGGATTTCAGCCATGGAGCGCCAGCTTTTACTAAACACCTTTAGGATCCAAGCCTTGCTTCGGGTCATTTGCAGTTGATCAAAGGTTTTAGTGTAGCTGCTGTTTCTAGCTTTATATTTCTGTGTTTTGTTTCTCACAAAAGCTTAAGCACTTTTAATTTTTTTCCAATAATCCCAATTTTATGGAGCAAAATTGGCACCATAAATCCTGATAAAAAGCATTTTTTTAATCTGAAAAACTAATTACTTTAACTCAACTTTGACTGAAATATAATTTCACACTGGAAAAAAAGGATTTGAATCTTATGGAGCTATATTCTCATAAATTCTGTTCAGAAACATTATTTAAATAAAAAAAATTATACTAAAAAAGCTTTCAAAAGTGATATAAGGATGTAACATTTATGGAGCAAAATTGGCACCATACTTTCTGTCCAGAAACTCTCTTGAAACCGGAAAAATTATTTCAAAGAAAGACACAAAAACTTTGAAACTGAAAAGTTATTTTAAAACTGAAAAAAAAAAAAAAAAAAAGTCAAACTTATGGAGCAAAATTGGCACCATAAATCCTGATAAAAAGCATTTTTTAAACTGAAAAACAAATTATTTAAACTAAACTTTGACTCTGAAAATGAATTTTCACACTGGAAAAAAAGGATTTGAATCTTATGGAGCTATATTCTCATAAATTCTGTTCAGAAACATTATTTAAATAAAAAAATTTAACTAAAAAAGCTTTCAAAAGTGATATAAAGATGTAACATTTATGGAGCAAAATTGGCACCATACTTTCTGTCCAGAAACTCTTTTGAAACGGGAAAAATAATTTCCAAGAAAGACAGAAAAACTTTGAAACTGAAAAGTTATTTTAAAACTGAAAAAAAAAAAAAAAAGTCAAACTTATGGAGCTAAATTGGCACCATAAATCGTGATACAAAGCATTTTTTTAATCTGAAAAACTAATTATTTTAACTGAACTTTGACTGAAAAATAAATTTCACACTGTAAAAAAATGATTTGAATCTTATGGAGCTATATTCTCATAAATTCTGTTCAGAAACATTATTTGAATAAAAAAATATATACTAAAAAAGCTTTCAAAAGTGATATAAAGATGTAAAATTTATGGAGCAAAATAGGCACTATACTTTCTGTCCAGAAAATCTTTTGAAACCGGAAATATAATTTCAAAGAAAGACACTAAAACTGAAAAGTTATTTTAAAACTGAAAAAACAAAACATGTCAAACTTATGGAGCTAAATTGGGGGCATGAATTATGTTGAAAAACATTTATGAAAGAGAACAACAGAGAGGAGAGTGTTTTTAATAAATGTCAAAACAGCCTGCCATAGGGACTTCATATAAACTTGTGCATTAACGCTAACAACAATCTTCTCCTTTGTTATATTCCTCTCCTTGCAGCTGTCTTTTAATTCAGAGTAATTTTCCTGTGAATGTGCTTTACTGGAGGCATCCATGTTTGTCAAAGAAAACTACTGCCACCTACTGGTTAGTGACGTCCCAGTGCTGTATCTGGTGTTTGTCACAACGCGCTCTTATCCAAGTCATCTTGAAAACATTCTTCTTCCAAATGTTGGCTACATATTACGGGTTTTTTCTCTGGCCAGAAGTTCAATGGCAAATCCTCCCTGTCCTCCCCAGTGTTCACGGGGATGGACGTCTGTGTCTTCGGCAGGCGTAGAGCTAACAGAACTGGCAGCGTTGCGAGGCAAGGGCTCAAACATGTACGGCTGGAAGCCTTCTACACCAAACCAAGCTTCTGCCGCCCTGGCGTCCTCTTCCACAACATCTTCATCCCGCTTTCCTCCTCTAAATAAAAAATGGATGACGGAGGTGACTCATCCACGACCTCCGACACTAAACTCTCCTCCTCTTGCATGTTTCCGCTGTCCATAGAGTTCCTTGACAGCGTCGTTTCTAAGTCACCAATTTAGTGCTACTTGGTCCCAATGGAATTTCCCATTGGGAACCTACTAGCACTAAGTTGCTAACTGGTTAGCAACGTAGTTCGGAGAAACTGGCCACAATCAAACTTGCTTGCGAACATTCCGCCACAACAATCCCGCCCCCTGATAAACGACCAATCACAGTCACTTTATTCACTTGTCTAAAGTCGTGCACCACTGCACAGCCGCTTCCCTACGACTTTAAATATTTGTTGATTGCAGATGTGTCTAGTAGTTCCCATTGATTTTGCTTGTAAAGCGGGAAGAATGGCGCTAGGCTTACTGCACTGCCGGAAGATGACAGGAGGGAGGGGTTACTATATTATAATATATACTATATTACTATATTTGGGCAAAAATGACCGCTCCCAGACTCAGTGATCATGACGAAAATTATTATAATTTTTTTTTTTTTACTGACTAATGCTAAATTCATTAAATTACTACAAACGTATTAGTTTTAGGTATAAATAATGATCCATTGATTATTGTTTACTGCACTTTTTCTTTAATAACTAATATATATTTAAAAACAGAATCCAGGCAAGAATCTTTCTCTCTATTCAGGTCCTGAATTTAGTTTCAATCTGTATTTTTCACATTATTAACCCACAATGAGTCAAGTTGAGGAGTTTTATCTAGAAAAAGGAGGTGGATATTTTCCAAAAGGAGTTAAAAATATCTATGTGGGCAACATGAACAAATATGAAATACATTTGTTTGTTCAACAAAATATTGTTTGTTTGCTGGCTAATTATTTCTAACACAACCTTGACCTTTACAGAAACGCAGAGTTTGAATCATCTAAATGAAGAGGCGTAATTGCAGAGCGTTGCAGCAGCTGAGTGCCCACTTTCCTCTAAACAGAAAACAATTCTTTTACTTTAGCAATGAAAACAACTTGGCCTTTTTTTCCACTTAATATAAATCTCACAATCCCACTGAGCAATCTTCACTATAGGCAGATACCACTAGTCTTTAATCTGGGTTATATTAGCGTGGATTAAATTAACACCCATATAAACAAAAACGCGTTACACCGTCTCTTTTAATTCATATAGATAAATGTTAACATTACTTCAGCTAGTAACCACTGATCAGGCCCGAAATCTAGGTGTAGTGCTGGATTCAGACTTGAACCTCCAAAAGCATTTAAAGACAATTACAAGGTCGGCTTTCTATCACCTGGAGAACATTTCCAGGATCAAAGGACTAATGTCTCAGCATGATCTGGACAAACTAATCCATGCGTTTATTTTTAGTCGAATTGATTACTATAATTACTGCAGGTCTGCCTAAAAAGTGGATCAGACAGCTGCAGCTGATCCAGAACGCTGCTGCCCGTGTCCTCACTAAGACTAAGAAAGTAGAGCACATCACCCCAGTTCTAAAGTCCTTCCACTGGCTCCCTGTATCTCAGAGAATAGACTAAAATACTTCTGTTAGTCTATAAATCTCTGAATGGCTTAGCACCTAAATACATTACAGACTTGCTATCAGTGTATCAACCCTCCAGACCACTCAGGTCTTCTGGCTCCAGCCTGCTCTGCATACCTAGAACCAGAACTAAACATGGAGAAGCAGCATTTGGTTCCTATGCTCCACTTATCTGGAACAAACTTCCAGAAAACTGTAAAAGTGCGGAAAGCCTGAGTTCCTTTAAATCAAAACTAGAAAGACATTTGTTTAGGATTGCCTTCCACTGTTCTAGTTAAACAATTCAACTGAAACATATTTTCTTTAGTCCAACTGTTTTTAATATTCTTTTTTTTGTTTCTGCATTTTTTATTTATTTTTTCCTACTTGCTTTGATTCTGTTTTATTTTCCTGTATTTTAATCATGTAAAGCACTTTGCATTGTCTTTGTACTGAATTGTGCTATGCAAATACATTTGCCTTGCCTTGCCTAGAGCCATTTTACCATTTTGGGAACAAGTCACATTACCTGAGGCCCCTAATCCCTTTAGTGTAATCCCATTGACCATTAATTTAGCCTCAGGGATTGCACAGGCTTCAGGTCGTGGCTGTTTGCTGAGCGTTTGCAGGCGGCTTTGTTTCACTTTGTAGAAATGACATAATGAAAGGCAGAGTCTTAGATAACGTCCTGTACAGACTAAGGTGTTGTTGGAACGGTGCTGCTGTAATCACACAGGCTTAAATAATGGCTGCAAATGATTCTCAGTGAATTTGACATTTTAAAGTATTGTTTTTCATTAGGCTGTGAGTCTTAGATTTAATAATTCTAAATATAAATTATCAGTTTGGAGCTTTGATTACGGCTGTGTTTTTATATCGTGGTCTGAATATAGAGCAAACAAGTGTC